TAAAACATACATTATATGGTAAAGTGGGAGTATGGGGGGCTTCATTTAATCATAGATCCTTTTTTTTAGGTAAAATATCTCATTTAGGGTACCAAGTCCCCCTTTTATTTATTATTAGGTTATTAGTGTTTTGTTTTCTGTTCTGTGTTTAGGGGGATATATCGAGTAGGCTGTCACAATCGGTAAATAAGTATAGTAGGGGTATACTGTCTAAATCGGTTGTGTTGGGTATAGGGTATTTTGTCTAAACTTTATTCTAGTAGTTGGCTTTCATGATGATTGTGATCTCTTTAATTCAACGATTTCATGACCTCTGTCTGGGTATAGATGTTATCCAGCCTTTTACTTTCCTTTTAAATGCGTATTTGGAACTTATCATCTCCAGGTCTTGTGGAAAACGGCGAAATTTTTGTGTGTGTAATTCCATAATCAAAATTGAGATTTTATTGATCTGGTTTTGTGGTCAGATGAATTGCTTTTTACGAGGAGTGGAACCTTTAATTCTCATAATGAACATATTTGCCCGTTAGAAAATCGCCGTTCTGTAATAATCCACTCGTTTCAACACAGATTTTCCAGAAATGTCTTGTGCGGCATCTTCAATCTCCAACTGTACCTCCCAACTAACAATTATCACTCCTATTAGAGTTGCAAGAATGATTATACAGTATTACTTACACAGCATTGTATAATGTAAGAACATTGGCAAAACCCTCTTAGAACAGCTATACAAGTGGAATGGGCACACCTAATAGGACACTTCAGTCATTTAAGAGGTTTAATAAGGGCTGCAGGTAACAGTTATACAACAAAAGTGTAAGGCTCTTGCAGCCGCTATAGGACATTTGCGTCAGTGCAAGATTCAGTTTTTGTCAACTATATAACTATTCTGTTACGTGATGCTACTTTATTGCAACCAAACTATTTCTGATGTATTGTATAGACGTAGTGACGAATATGTAACTAACACAATACAGTTATCTTGTTTACTTACATATCGGCCATTGTGCATTTCATACCCAGGTATATGATAGACTTCTACACTGTGATATAGGGCTATTGAATTACTTGCGCAGCAAATTTTATTGTGATTATCGTGCAAAGTAGTTACGCAATTTCTACGGGCTTCGTATTTGATTCATATATTGATAATTATCAAAAGTATGTCTAGATTTTTAAGATGGAAAACTGAACTTATCTGCGTTAAATCTTCCACAAATCCTATATTTAGACACAATTACACTAATGTTTATCACTTTATATCTGTAATTTCGAACTGAAACATAGTTATTTAATATCAAATAGAGGAATAAATGTTTGCCCAATATGGCGGGTGGTTGTGTATAATCATGGCATCGTCCATGTTGTCTTTAGTTCACTTTAGTTTATTAGAATATTTTGGTGTTGCCTGCAGGTGTTATACAACAATTTGACAAATGTCAGAAATGAAATACCGACAGAGTCGAATGATTTACCTAGAATTTGTACCAGATCTATATCTTCTGTTTGAACAGTTGATAAAACCTTTTTAACCAATATGCATGCGTTGTTTGTCTTAAAACATTGGTTATGGCATTTTAACAAAAATATGATAGTAGAAAGTTAAGTTATGGTGAAGTTGTATACCAACATATTTAGCATATGTACAGCCTTTAACAGTTACTAAACAACAGTTGTATAAGTGCTTCCGTTAGGAGCAATTTGTTGGCTAAGGCCCGTATCGTCAGTCGTCCCTACAAGTGTAGGGCGCCTTTATAGCCTCCTTGATTGTCATAGTTTTCTACTTCTCCGTGTCAGCACTCCATTTTGAGGTTATGTCACAAACATCTATTTGCATCAAATTGTGCTTGCTTTTGAGTTGTATCATGTTTTATCAGCTTGAAATTTCCTACAATTTAAAAAGAAAACATATGTTCACAATAGGAGAGCGCTGACGCTGACACGGGACAAGTGTAATCTACAAATTCTTTAAAGAGAGAAAGGAGTATGACAATCAAGGAGGCCATAAACGCGCCCTACAATTGTAGGGACGACTGACGATACGGGCCTAAAGTAGTAAATTTGCACAGCAAAACAACAAGGCTCGGGTTTGTTATATAAACGTTACCGTGGGTGCCACAACACAACCATTTTGACTAACCAGCAAATATGCCGTATAAAATAGTTGTATAAACGTTTATGCAACAGTTAAAAATTTGTCCTATAAGGTGTTGTGTAACTATGCTATAAGAATATTTTAAACACCTCATTCCAGTTAACAATTTTTAAGAATATATTATAAGAAATTGTTTTTTATTTTTAAACTTCAACATCCCGTATTTTTTTAATGAAGCCCTCGAGGAAAAAATATTACATAGAAGGTACTCCTTAAATTTTAAGGCTTAAAATGTGTACGATATTGCATTTTTGGTCACGACTTGTAAATCATCCTGTATACGTACTCTGGGCGTTCTTTTATGTACGTACATAGAATGTACATTTTGGTGGAAAACGTGAGTACATCCCACGGACGTACTACGTCCAATTAAGTACATATGTAGATGGGATATACATTTTGGCGACAAGTCTACGCACATAGTACGTCTTGTTGACGTACCGCATTCTTTTACGAACACACATAGGTCAAACGTTATGTGATACAGGGTGACTTCGAAGTTAAGTCATTTATTTTAACAGTGAGTAGATCTGATCAAAAGAAATGTTTTTTCCTTTAACATTTTTCTTGTAAAATTAAAGTAACAAAGTTATAGCCCTTTAGAAGTTTGAGTACCGCCCTGTCTCAATAACAATATTATGTGCTCGTGTTTGGCGACAACGGATATAATCCGCATCGGTTCATCGCATCGGAAACAAAAAAGCGAAAGAATTTGAAACGCTTATCACGATGTTTTTAGTTGGATTCAGTCGGTAACGCGTGAGTGTTTGTTAGTGTGTTTGTTGCGTGGCTCAAACGAAATAAAAAATGGCACATGTTTACGAAAATGCTGAACTTGTGGACATGATTCTTATTTACGGGGGGGGGGAGTCTTTACAAAATCGGTTTCCCAATCGAGTGCAACCAACCCCTCGTGCCTTTGTTAATGTAGTACAACGGGCTCGTGAATCAGGTGACTTAAGACCTCACAGGGGATGCCGGTGCTCCAAAACCGCACGATCAAATACAGGTCCGCACTGAAATACTTGTCGGGAGGATACTTTATAAAACAAGGTAACATTTTTTTTTAATTTTTTTTTTATTTTTACACACATATTTTGGTTTATCTTCCTTCTACAATCACTATCTGAAAATTCATGACTCAACTTCAAAGTCACCCTGTATAGGAGACAACATTATTATAATTCGATGGCCTGCATTTGTCATTTGTTGCGCTAAATTTGATATACTTATTCCAAAAACGGTTAGACTCATATTCATTAAATAAGAGTATATTTATAATCTCGCGTAGAATCCAAAAACTCAACATAAAGAGGGTGTTCTTTTGAAAAAAAGCAAGCTGGTATATTCTTCTGTTACAACCGAAGATGCCTCAATTTTGAATATATCTATTTCAACCGAATTGCTCCCATTATACAAACCCAACCTTTTATAACTGCCATACGTCAACTCTTTGCGTAATCAAAATCTGCATTTCTACGTGGGAATAACGCAAAGGTGAAATTTTTTGGAAAAGCGGATCCTGGCTGAACACAATACAGATAGACTACGCTGTTTTTGGGCATACGAGATTTGCCCCTTAAAATACTTTTATAGGGCGCGCCCCTCCCTAGACGTCTGACACTTGGCTTTGTAATCTAACACCATTGTGTTACTTTCTGACACATGATGACGACAGAGGCATACTAACTATAAGTTATAGCTATAGGAACTGATCATTGCGATTTTTTTTGTATCCTTTGGTATTCCAAACGCTGTCCCTCTTTGGCAACACTTACTTTACAGCACAATTTTTAAGATTTATACATATACGAGTATTGTGACCTGTGATAAATCTAAATCTGAGTAATGCGCCGATCGATGCTCAAAGTCAATACCACACGTCCCACATTTCTTCCCGCGTATCGGTCTGTTTATGTTGCTACAATGAATTCGTTTAAATCACAGAGCTTCTGCACTACATGTGAATATGTAGATTAATGAATTTCTGTACTTGTTTCATATAAACACGCATACTCAAAATGATCACGATCTAACAGATTTAGTTTTTTTAAAGATTTTCAAGATTTTTACATGCACCGATTCGAAAACAGAAAACAACTATGCCGTAAATCTAAGTTCGACAACGAAAGCCTGAAGAATAACTGGAACATCTATATTGAATTTCGAAAAATAGTTGACCTATTTTTATTTTTATCACCTGCTGATATGATAGAAGTGCTTGATTGTGTCAGTATTTGCACCAATTACTTGATGAGTTTAATGGGCAGTTCAGAGTCTTAATCGTTAAGCTTAGTACACACTAGTAGACCCTACTCAACCCTGCGAAATTTGTCTATAGGCAGTCTGGAGACGGTTTCAAGACACGATCTATAGATGGTCTATAGACATCCTTCTTTGTATCGTCTAGCGTCCATACCATAATGTGAATTTTTCGGTGTCATGTTTGTTTTCGCCACCAGGCATTGTTTTGTGTGGAATGGACTGGGATATGTCTCGGGGTCGCTCAGAATGCTTTTTTTTCGGTTCACAGGCCAATAAAGTTTTTTATGTTTTAACCTTCAATATTTTACACTAGTTAATTATAAATGCCACGTACTTATTTTGTTCTCATATAATAAAATATTGCCTTTCTGAGGATTTCTGAGTATTTTCCATGGCTTTCTTTTTCAAGCTGACATTGACGAGATAGAACCCAATGGACTTAAGGAGCAATACTGGGATAAATTCTAGAAGTTCCATTGAGGTTGAAAAATTACCAGCCCCAAATATCGTTTGCGCCCTTGCTTATAGGAACATATATTGTCCGTATATTATTATGGAGCATTTACTTACCAACAGCCTGTTAGGACCTGTACATCTCCGTCTGGGATCTGCTTGTAACCCCGCTGATCTTGACTCCCCCTTGCTTCTTGCATTTTCCCTCTTTGCCAAAATAGGATTTGAACTGGTACTCTTTATCTGTGAGCACTCCATGATCTCTTGTGTAGTTGAGACCATTATTCATCAACCCTCCTGAACATCTCTTGTTGTCGTACTCACCTGTAGAACAGTCTATGAAATTTTGAACACTCAAAGGTTCTAGTATGCCATTCTTCAGGAAGATTTGAACTTTGATAGCTCCTACCTGCAAATATCAAAGTGTCATTAGTACAATGTCTTCTGATGAATAGCTGTACATGATTATACCTGTCCGTGGGAGACGTAGTAACTTGGTGCAGTTTGATGGCTAGTAAGGGACTGAGGGACTCCCAGGTACACATTCAGTTTTAATGGGTGACCGAGCCTTGTCAGGAAACAATTCGTCCAGGAGGGGTACCACGTAAATGGAAAAGATTTAGATTTTTTGACATTATGTCGTTTTTTGCGCATTATATAGATTTTTTATGATATTATGTAGATTTTCCAACATGACGTCATCTTGGAACTAGCTGTCGTTCACTTCATGCTAACTTGTAGCAAGCACGGAATGAACTACCTGTACACTAGCGTCTACTTAGTCATCAAGTTGATATTTTATCGTTTTTTTTTTTTGACATTGTGGGTTTGTTCGTACAGTGGTGGGTCACTGATTGTCGGATCAGGCCGTGTGAATTTGGTTTATATAGCGTAGTAGAACGGATGGGATTTGTGTGGCGGGATCTTGGACACGGTCACTGACAGGTTGGTGACTGCCGTACACACAGGATTTTTATAGGTTTATTAGGTAATAACCCTGCCGGCTTTTTGGACTAATACTAGGACATATCTTTTAAATCGGGATAAACGTCAAATAATCATCACCGTTGTCAGGACAACATTAGAAACTTGATAAACTCACAACAGACCGAGAGCCTGTGTCATATTTAATAAAATTTGCATGAAACCACATATCTTCTCCCTGAAATTGCTTATATAATACAACTATGTCAAAAAGATTAGCCAACTACACTTCTCAAAAAAATTAAAGGAGCAAGAAAAAAATCCAAATTTTTCGAAAAGTTTGAGTGGCTGTATTTAGGTGATATATAGACTTGAAAAAAGGATTTTGAAGCTTCAAGATACAAGTTTTTCGTCATTCTAGTCAAAAAATTGTAGAAGCAATGGTTCTCATGCAATTTTTACAGATGACGCAAGAAAAAATTTTTGCAAAACTTTTGCCTTCTCTTTAGTCCACGGGCTTAAAATATTTTTTTTCTGTTAGGCCATCGTATGGATCGGATAGCAAGTTTATTCAGCTTCAATACTATCTTTTTAAAATCTTGATACGGTCATTTGGAGCGCAGGTATCTAACTTTGTATGAAAAAGGATCCGTTTGAGATCGACCACTGGTATCTCGGTAACCAGTGATCGTACAGAGAATGTAAGGATTTGTCTGAAGACTCAGGAATACATCTTAAAATTTTTCCAATTGTTTTTTTAAAATTGAAGATCTTACAGATATCTAATAAAGATAATAAAAGAAGAAAAGTGGTTTTTCCATTTTCAACCAGATTACATGATGTTTTGATAGAAAAATTTTGCTCCGTTGATTCCTTTCAAATTTTGACCAATCGGTCCGGAGAAACCGGACAATGGATCGAGCTGCCGTCAATCGTGGTTGTTAGGATATGCTGAGGTATAAAGAAACTTACATCTTTGACTATTTTAACATCCATAATAAATAAACAAAAAAAAATGCTCAAAGATTACAATAAAATTTTATTCCAGTTTTCCGAAATACCCTTACATTCCCTGTACGATCACTTTTCATTCTAAATCGGATATCACCGCGCCAAATGATCATATCGAGATCTTAAAAACAGAATATTGAAGCTGAATAAACGGGTTCCGAACCATATGATGTCTTTCCAAGCCCGTGGACTAAAAAGTCCAAAATTTTGCAAAACATTTTTCTTGCGCTATCTGTTAGAATTGTATGAGAACCGATTCTCCTAAAATTTTTCGGCTAACAAACTAGATATTCAAAATGCCCGTTTCAAAGTTTTGATACCACCATTTTTAACTGAAATACACCCTGCCAAAGATAACCGAAAAATTTGGATTTTTAGCTCCCCCAGGACAGTGCAGGAACAATTAAATAATTTAAAACTCTTCCTCCTTTGTCAAGTTCTCTATCTATTCGTCATTGTCCGTCAAAGCAGTCCATTGGACCTTCGCTCTCTGTTAAAGTATCGTAGGTCAGTAGGAATGTCAGGTCTGGTTTCCCAGATGCCAGACGAAGTCAGGGAGAAAGAAAGGAAGAAGAAAGAAAGAAAGGAAGGAAGGGGGAAGAGCAAATAGGGTAAAGTGCGCCGGCTAAAGGGATGCCTTTCTACTGTAAACTGGTATTCGGTTAATTTAAGTTAATCCAAAATTTAATTTAGGAAATTGTGTGTGGCAAAAATCGTAATTTTGGTTGGATATATAACGTAATTGCACGATTTGATACTACTAACTTTGTTAACCAAACCTAATTTTGAGGTTCTACATAGTAAAGGGTAGACTTGCCGAAACGTAATTTGGAATTTAGCTTTTACCGCTTCAGTGTGATTCTGCCAGGTCATCCCCTTGTCAAGAGTGATACCGAGATACTTAGCTGAATTTTCCCATGGTATATGAGCTCAATTCACTGAAAACTCAGGCGGGCTGCCGCTACGTCTTTTAGTACAATAGATTGCCTGCGTTTTCGAGTAATTAATTTTGATTAGCCACCGATCTGCCTATTCCAATACCTCATCCACCACACTTTGTAACCTGTCGTGAACCAGATTCCCTGTACGTGACTGGGCCACCAGTGCAGTGTCATCAGCATATAGACAAACTTCACAGACGCTAAGGCAAAAGGGACATCATGCGTGAAAAGTGAGTAAAGGATTGGCCCTGGAACCGAACCCTGCGGGCCGCCGACTCTGATGGGCCGTACCGTCAACAAGAAATTATTAATTTTGATGTGAAAATTCCTACCTTCGAGGAAGGTTTTCAAAAGTTTTAGGAGCAGAAATGGAAAGCCATTTTGAATTAGCTTGTGCCACACATTGTCAAATGTCTTCGAGACATCCAGAAACAAGGTTCCAGTACTTTCGTTAAGGGTGAAGCCCCTGGTTACTCGCTCCACAAGCCAAACCGCATGTGACTTCGTACTATGCTCAGACCGATATCCAAATTGCACGTCAGGAATCACATGGTGTTCTGACTAGAAATTCGCAAGGTAACGTAGAATCACCTTTTCAGTGAGTTTAGACGGAGCAGACAGTAGGCTGATGAGACGATAGTCCTGGGGAAATATCGAACCCACCTTCTTTAGAATCATTATAACTTTCGCAGTCTTCCACGCCGATGGGAAGTACTGGGTCGTTAGCATGGCATTGACTATTGCCACGAGATAAGTCAAGGACTTCCGTGAAAGTTGCTTCAGTGCCTTATTAGTGATTTGATCCTCCCCAGGCGCTTTACGCACCTTGAGGTCTTTAATATGACCTTGAAGCTCTGCTGGTGTGCAATGCGGGATCTCTGGAGAAGCCGCTGTGCAGCTCTTCAACTGAAGAATCTTCCGAAAAAGAATCTTCTGAGGAAGAATCACTAATGACACTACAATTTGTTGCTCCTCGTCGAGATCATTATCAAGTTCATAGTTGGGAGAGAACTGACGTTCCATAGCATCGGCAAAAACCTCGACCTTGTCCCCTGTCCTGATGACTATGCCCCCAGGACCGTGGATATACGAGAGCTGTTCTCGCTTTCCGTTTCTGAGCGACTTCGCCACTTCCTAGAGAGGAGTACTTGAGTCAAGCATCCCCGCCAGAAAACCGTTCCACTGCTCATTGCGGAATTCATGGAGAGCATTTCTTACTTCATGAACCAGGTTCGTCGCTCTGCCAATGTCATCAGGATGACAATAACCTTTTCGCTTGCCTAATTGCAGCCCTTTTGTCAGAAATTGTCTGCAGGGAGAAAAGGTCTGCCGTGTTGTTGTACAGGAAGTACAGCTGCACGCCGCAGAGCTTGCTGAACGAAGCTTGTCCACTCCGCTTGAGCCGCGTCTATACCGTTCTGATCATCTATGATCGGGATATTGGGGAACTCTCTGAGAAATAACTTGTATAGTTCCCAATATACCTGTTTCCTTGGAGAAGTTCCCTCTTCCAAGGTTTGCTCATTACCCACTTCCAGTTCGACAAGAACATGATCGCTAGAAATGTCATACATGACTCGAGAAGTGATACTGTATCTACAGTTTCTAGATATTGCAAAGTCGATGACATCTGGTACCTGAACGTGATTAAATGGGTGGTGCGTATGCTCCTCAGTACTGTGTATGACGTAGCCGTTTCGTATCACATGGTGGAATTCAACCTTGAATGCCATGCTCTGTGTTTGCAGTTGAAGTCCCGCGCTACAATAAGCGGACCAGAGTAGTCCATAAGGACTTCCAGGTCCGCCTCCTGCAGCCTGGCACCACAACTGACATACACCAATGTGATCTTCAACGGGACACCTCCCGTCATATTAACCACGGAAGCCGCCTCAATGTTCTGTATGTCGGCATTTGTGCTTCTATGGTAGCCACCCCGTCCAGTTAATCTACCAGCTCGGATAACCTCATAATTCGGGAAAGCTAGACGATCTCATTATTCAATGTTTCCTGCAACAGAGTCACATCTATACTCTCATCCAAAAGTACTTGATGAAATTCCCGTTTTTCGGGAATATCCCTAAGACCCAAACAATTGCAGAAAAGAATTTTGATGAATGCAGGCTGTCTACTATTGTACCCAGCCATTTATCGGAAAGATCGCCTACAAGGCCTGTGTAGCGCTTATGAGGGGACTAATTATCTGCTGCAAGGACCTTAGCGCTGTTGCCAGGTCCATGTTTTGAGCAGTCGAAGGTGAGCTCAGGACAGCAGGGGCAGCTAGCCTTTGTGCGATGACCTGTAGATTTCTCCTAGGAGTGAATCTACAGGTAGAACTGTTAGCCGGATGGTCCCCTCCATAGTTCGCACTTTGCGCGCCTCTGGTCCTGTTTGAGGGCACAGATGTGTCATGTGGTCTTGAGCACATTTGAGACACTTTCGAGGTGCAGTGCAATACGATTGCGCGTGTCCATACTTCTGACACCGGTGACCCTGCCCAATGAGTCTAGAGTTCTTTTGAACCTCAACTCTGATTCGTCGAACACTTGCTGTGATTTCTCTGTCTTAGGCAGGATCACCACCACCAAAGGCATGGGCACGCTGCCGTTGCGCTTCAAGCGAATTACGAGGAGGGGAGTATATCACCTCTGCTCCTCTTTGATTTCCTGCTTAGCAGTTGGCGCTGGGATTCCTCTAATAACAGCGTGAATGTTACGCTCAGAGGGCAGTGGAAATGTATGGTGAGGAACATTTTCCTCTTTGAAAAGACGAATTATCTTCCAATAATCATCTTCGCAGCATCAACAGCTACTGCTCGATCAATCTTAATACCAAGACTGATAAAAGAATAGTTGACAGTGCGCCACTTTGCCGCATCCCGCAGCACAACAGGTGTAACACGCCCCTGACGGGGTGACTGTGCCTGCGTGCCGAGAGTAGCGTTAGATGACTGAGATGTAGTGTTGCTGTCAGCCAAGGAAGCAGCTTGTGAGACTGAAATAAAGTTTTGACTTTCGTTTAAGCCAGGTGCTTGCATTTGAGAATGCTTTAGCTAGCTTGCAGAATCAGCAGAAGAAACAGGCACAGGCGGTGTTATGTCCATTGAATTGGTACTGATTGGGGATTTCTTAGTCGGAAGGGAATGAAATTCGTTGATTTTACGAATCTGTCGTTTTTTTACGTCTCTGGATAGGGGTAAAATCGCTACCCTGTACGTCGTCTTCTGTCTCTGTAGGTGAGGTAGGGCTGTTGTGTTTTCTCTTGGGAATTTTAATAGAACTGTCATCACAAGACATGAATTTATTTAAGAAAGTACTAAGGCAAAAAACCTGGGCATTGAGATTGTCCACGCAGTCCGTCAGTCTCTTGATTTGAGCTGCCTGGTCAGCAATGATCTGGTTATAGCCTCTCCTTTTCGGTGTCTCTTTCAGTATCTGCAGCTGTCAAATTCTCTCTAGGGATCGTATTCTCCAGTCTCTCAGGTAAGCCGCTTTTTGCTTCTTCTCCACTCGCTGTGATGGAGGGGTCGCCTGGTGACCCTTCGGACGTGCGTTCCATCTCATATTGGCCATCTCTCAGCAAATTCTCATAATTTTTAAGGAGAAAAAATCTGCCAACTTGTCTTTTCGTTGTCTACCCTACAGGATGCTATTGTCAGGTTATAAGGGCTGCGATATAATGACACTTTGGAACATGATAACATCAAGGGATTTAGCCGAGTATACTAATTTGATGTCACCTCTCCAAAGATGAATAGCGAAGCAGTGAAACATTAACGTATTTGGAGAATACGGATGGGACTTGGACCGCCTACTAAAAAATGTTATAGAAACCCGTGCTTTACAGTACGTACGTGTCAGCACGTTACGCTACCGACACTGATGTTCAATTTGCACAAATTCATACCCAAGGATCAACCTCTCATACGCGGTTTTATCTGAAATGAAATATTTTTATTATTTATTCATTATTCATCCTTGTAGTGGTAGTCTAGTACTTTTAGCTTCAAAAATATTATACAAACTGTTTTAAACAGAAAATACAGCATTTTATAAGATGTATTTTAGCGATATTTCGACAAGCTCTTATTCTGTTTGCAAGTGTCCAGTATATGAGTCCAAAAATATTCCAAAAATATGGACCCATGTCCCGTTAATAACAGCAGCTCCAGGGAATAAGTAGAGTTACCTGTTTAGAATTAAGATGTCTCCTGAACGATTTAACTTCCACAATATTTATCCTAGGTTCAGATAAACGCAATACATTTGGTATGCTGTTCACATCTCTGTGGACCTGATGCTCTATCTAGGCGGCTGCCCAGGTAACTTTGAGACACCACTTCTTAGTAGTGGTCTCAAGCTTGTTCCACATTGAAAGGGCACTCGCTCAGTGATCTGGCTAATATGCTAATGGACATTTGTTCCTCAGTGTTCTAGGCGTTCAGCTGGCTCATTAGTTAACATAAAAGTATGTCACTTTTGAACTCATTGGTGCTGACATATATGTTTTCAATTTATTCTAAGGCTTACTAAGGGAGAATACCAAAAGAAATAAAACTTACTGCACTAAAGGCCCAACAAGCTCTGCAAAGCCGCTAATCCTTCATTGTGGTGACAGCGCCCTTTGCTCTCCAAACTACTTCTTTCGGTAGATCTTCATTGTCTTCCAATAATGCTAAGTTATCGCCGCGACTTGGAGTTTGGTCTTTCTGCAAGCTCATCATTAGACGAAATTCTTCTTGACTCATATCACCAAATTGGTTCATTCTCATCTCGAAGGTTTCCTCGCCATTGTTGAACCTATGGTTATGTCCATCTATCATTCGGAGGTTCGACTTGAAGATATCGAAACGTCTCTTTTCCTCAAGGAGACTTCTATAGGTTTTACCACGTTGCGTTTGAGGGGAAAAGATGATTCATCAATGCTATATTGTCATGAGTGACCACCCTATTATGAAGGTTGATCCCAAAGCTCCACCCCTCCTATAAAGCTACATTTTAATTTATGTTTTTCATTTTCTACTCAACCCCTCCTAACATAAAAGCTCTTGTTTGGAAAAAAAAAATCCTCTACCGCAAATATGAGTTGCTAGTTAGTCGAACATTTCTTTTCTAGTGAATGTGATTTTAATTTTGAAAATATTATGAAATTGCTGAGGTACCAGGACTTGCAAACGCCTTGGGTAATTTACCAACTCAAAGCTTGCTTAGCGAAGTGCATCCATAACAATACAGGTACGGCTAGGAGGAGTATCCTGATGAAATAATACGTCTCTCATTAACTTGTCCAACGTTTGAAATAGAGTCAATTTTCTTTGAGGTGTGCTACGTATCTAAATGCACATAGCCGCGAACAAAAAAGCAATGTGCTCGTTACGGACAGATGGTCGTTTGGTACATACAAATTAATGCTTTTAGCATCATTTGAAATAATTTTGTCATGAGCGATACCGCTCTTCAGTCCACAACTCAGGGCTTGCGGGAGGGAGATGTTGGAATGACGCTATTTTCAATGTACACGACCGAGTCGCTTAAATTATTAATATACCTTAAATATTGGCTACACCACCACTTACAGACTAGAGAAAAGAAAAAAATGCTGCTGTCATTAATTGAACTCTGTACCACTAACAGACTACATAACCGCAGACAGACAGCCATGTACAGCTGTTACATGCTATTTGGCAACTTCAGCAAGGTGTAGGCTTGGTCTCGGTGGACAACAAACAACAGCTGAGCAACTCTATTGAGAGTAGAAGGTCTATCGAAATAAGACAGCACAAAGTGCCATCTATCACCAGAGTCGACCACTACGAAAGTTAAAACAGCAAGCGCTCGGTTGGAACTTTATGCCAGTTCGCATAAATAATTGTTACTGTCAGGAATTGAAGTTGCTGTCATCAGTCTTCAAGGCATAATTTTCTACCACTGCACCAAAATAAGTAGCAGCGGCTGACTTTCAAAACCGATAATTATTTGTATATTCCGGATGCATTATCGAGGTCATCGTTTTTGACTGCGTCTTTGCGGACTCTTTTTATTGTTACCTGTGCCACACATAACTTCTGGGTAAGCACAATATATTCAAAAACCATTCGTAAGCATATTTTCAAGTTAGCACCCGAAAAAATAAAAAAAAAAATTCACGGTTTTTACGAAAATATTGTCATTTTCTGTACTTGCCCATGAAATATAAATATTTAAAAAACTGTTTCAGCTCCACATGCATTTATTTTTGAGGTTTGATATTTACTTCAGTTCAAGATATGATTAAACAATGCCAAACAAATTTGCTTGAAAATAATGACCGAAAAAGGTCAAACATGGCTTGATCAATTGCTAAGGTCCGATCGCAGAAAGCATACATTGAAGAGGGCAGGAAACGCAGACGATTTGTACATTCTAAAACTCAAGAAAATATGAAGGTAATTTAAAAAAAAGTAATGGTTTTTGCTAACTCTGAATTTTTGCCATTCTTCCTGATCAGAGAGGCAATATATGGTAGGCATCAGTACGGTAAATATAACTATAAGAAGCTTCATATTTTTTCTAGTCCCTTGCCTGAAGTAAATTCAAAATCTTTTTATACTGAATGTATAGCATAGACTCTTGGAGATAAGTCACCGATATAAGTGGTTGATAAAATGATTGAAGACTTGAAGACCGTGGAAACGTAGTAATGATAAAATTCATAGTCTTATTACAATATTAACTACTATACAGATAATCACTCCATGATCTTTAATATGTGGGCTGTTATTGGTGTCATTCTGAATAGTGACCTCCAAATTCTGTAGAGTTCAGATAGCATCTACTGATAATCGAAGTATCTACGTGCGAATTTAATATCTCTAAACTGTGCGGCACTTATAGAATCAGGTCACAAAAAATGGCGTCAAGTAAGCTGACTGTACTTCCTCCTACGCAACGCTTTCATCAGCAAAATATTTTGTTCGGCAACAGTTATCTCTTCTGAAAAAAAGTTTGTAACGGGCGACTCTTCACGTGCTCATCCAATAGTTGGTTGCGTTTGGAAGGAAACACGGAATTCGTTTTGCCTTTTCATGAAAACAAAGACAATAAACAGAATGTTCAATGCACGTGAAGCGTGAACTCTCCTCTAACTAAAGCGGTACCAAATCACTCAAAATTCCACCAATCAAAATAATTCAAAGCTGGACTACTGTTACCCTAAGACCCTGGAGCTTAAGTCCCGGTTCCGCTCTGGCGGTCGGAAAAGAAGATGAGTGAGGATAGCCACAAGTTTTAAAGGTAAATGTATGTACATGACCATCTATGATGACTGACGTGTCTAACAGGTGCGTAGAATTTCTGGGGTTGGAGGCATATAAATATACCAGCATCAAAAAGATGAGATATATGCTTCCCAAACCTACTGCGGCCCCAAATGCTAAATTTCTAACCGCTACGAAAAAAAAATGCATATATATATATATATGTATATCTAACAAAAAGTAGGAAAATAATGGGCAAAATCCGCAAAAAGGAGGAAAGTGGATTCGAGCAGAAAACAGGTTAGATAACCCGAGCTATACGTATTTCCGCTGGTCGGCTTCATCAGGCCCGAAATGAATGCACATATGAATCTGCAAAAGTAGATACACATGCCCACACATCCGGATACGGGTGTAACCTGAGGAAACAAAGATGAAGAGGGAAAAAACGACACACGAAGTCCACAACAAGAGCGAACCTACACATTGTAGTATAAAATGGCTATTAGACCTCGAATTTTCAAGAAGACATCTAACCACAACCACGCGGCCGGTTATAGCCACTAGCTAAAAGTAGGAAAATAATGGACATTCCCATTATTTTCCTACTTTTTGTTTTGTTATATACCTTTCTCCGCATGATCATTTTCTCTCTGTAGATCCTATGGACTTGAAGTACCACAGAAAATTACCAATTCTCCCTAGCATCCTTAAGAAGCCTTTGAATCTCCGAAAATGAAGGACATGTTTTATGAGTATCTGTGACATCATTTTTGTGTTCGTTATGCCACGGAGAAATTGTCATTTTACTCTGGGACGTCCAGTGCTGATATCCTGTATACAGAATCAGCAGAGAATCCGCGAGGTCCGCACGGCACGGGTATTACGTATCTCGATGTTAACTTAGCACTAGCTGATGGACACTTGATGTGAACTCGTTTGACAGGTTTTCTGTGACATTTTGTAGATTTTTCTAAAAGATTTTAACTTTGCACTAGCTGTTATAGACTTAATGTAAACTTGTTCCGTAGCTGTAGGGAGCAGTCCCCTAGTGGCTGACACCTAAGGATTTCAGAAAATACAACAAAAACTACTTCGAAAAATGTAACTTTATTTATGAATCAGTTAAGACAACAAATTATAAAACCAAAATAAATCAACAAAATTACAACTTTGCATGAACATAATTAGGAACCTCATTTAAGTTATGGTAAAAAAAGATGCAATCTTTGCCATTGGCTCCTAGTACCAGACGGACCTAAATTCTAACTCCCAGCACCCGAGATCATTAAGGCCCGTATCGTCAGTCGTCCCTACATTTGTAGGGCGCCTTTATGGAATCCTTGATTGTCATATTTTTCTACTTCTCCGTGTCAGAACTCTATTTTGAGGTTGGGTCACAAACATCTATTTGCATCAAATTGTGCTTGCTTTTGAGTTATATCATGTTTTATCAGCCTGAAATTTCCTACAATTTAAAACGAAAACATATCTTTACAATAGGAGAGCGCTGACGCTGACACGGGACAAGTGTAATCTAGAAATTTTTGAAGGAGAGAAAGAAGTATGACAATCTAGGAGGCCATCAACACGCCCTACAATTGTAGGGACGACTGACGATACGGGCCTAAATCATCGTGCATCGATCGCATATATAGGCATCTCCATATTCAGGAATGTCTACACATGCTTCGTGAACCCACCTTTGGCAGCTGGAGCATTGTATCAAGTCTTCGTCGTGGTCCTCTAAGCACACTACGCAAGTAGTTTTTTCTGTGTTAGATGTTTCAGATAATGGTTCCCTTTTCTTAGTTTTATCACCACTTTTTTCATAGCTCTCAAACCTTTGTTTTGTTTACCCTTCTCTCACATGGCCCTTTTGACTTTATTATTTCTTTATTTTTTCTTCAAGTTTTTTTTCATTCTTTTTTCTTCAACAGCAACTTTATAGGAATACGATGTTAGAATTTCACTTTTTTACAATCTCTTTCGTGCCACTGACCTCTTGATGGCGGCATCTGGCACCGGCGATAATTTATGGATTACCTGGGCAACATTTGGATCAAAGCATTTAGATGGCTTACGGCTACTAGTTATTGGTTCATTGGTAGATTCTTCAGGAAGGTTTGTCGATTCCCTTAAGACTAAATTGTTTGAAAGTTCTGCATCGGAGGGCATAGATGAGCCACCAACCAGGGCTGAATCTGTGGAAGTCACAGAAGCTTCTCCGCCCCAATATCAAGCCGAGCTACTTTGGTAAACGATTCATTGATCAGACCAGTAATATCGTAAGCTAACTTCAAAAATTCCTTTTTCATCAGCGGCAGGGATTTATTGGACAAGTCCATTACGTGGTTCACTAAAACTCGTTAATACTCTGGCGAAAAGGTATTAGTGAATCTACCCATCTTTGGTTGCAACGTCACTTCTACTCCACGACTCAATGCCGATGTTTTATCATGTGGGATATTGTAATGCGACGAAGCTTTCCGCAAACTCATTTCTTTGGACAAAACCTTATCTATCGCAGCTTAAACTTTGTTGGCTATTTTCCTTTCTTTTTGGTCCCTTCCATTTCACTGTATCTCTAAACTTATATCCTCTAAAACAACATACAACAATTATTATGAGTGCATAGACGCTTAGTACAAAAAACTGTTTGTGAGCTGTCCGAAGCTAAGGGACATCTTTGTGTCTGGTACGAGGTGACAGGGAATCCCCAAAATCACGTGTTGCATACTTAGATTGTTTAAGCAACTAAAAAAACTTTCGCAGTCTACGAATTATATTGGAAGACCATCTTGATTAACAATTAACTTAAACACTTAAACATAAAACAATAGCAGTAATACTCACATGGAATTTATGTGACGCAATAATTCCTCGCCAAATCCAGCAATCGACCCCTCCCACCGCGTCCCGTGAACACATATTGCTACGTCCCTCCGCACCCCTTCCAACGGTTTTTGAATTAAATGCATGCAAACTGATGAGGTTTAAAGGTGATATTAAATCCTTCATGTCATTTATTGATGTTTTCGATGCCTTAATTCATAACAACCAAACCCTACCCAATATAGAAAAATTCTCGCATTTGATATCATGGGTCTGCTAAAGGTATGTTACAGTGCTATCCTTTAACTTCATCAGATTATTTAGTAGCTTATCAAGCACTAAGGTCCCAATATACTAATAAACGGCTTTTAGCAACTTCACACTGGAACGAAATTGAGAATACGCCATGCATGAATTCTGAAAATCCCGCTCAGCTTGGGAAACTACTAGAAACATATACTGAAAATATTGCCGCAATGAAAAATCTTCCCATTGCTGAATAGGACTATATTTTGACCAATATGTAACGCATATGATAATATATGCAAATGATGCCTCTCACTCGCGTCACAGGCATACACGCGCAAATAATAATCATCTAAACCGCCGTACTAGCTCATCACTATTAACCCGCACAGATTCTTCTCCTGTGCCAACCCACTCTTGCTTCTTATGCAAAAATTCTGATCATTTAATCTATAAATGTCCGCTCTTACTTAATAAACCGCCTCAGGAGAGACTTTCTATAGTCAAACTCCATACGCTATGCACAAACTGTTTGAGTAATTGCCATTTTAATAGTAGGTGTATGTCAGTTCATACATGTCGTATGTGTAACGCTAAGCATCACTCGTTGCTTCATGTTATTCAATACACAAATACTTTGCAACCCTGTAGTTGAAAACGCACAATCTTTGGAAAATAATATTTCAAATACCCAGTGTACGCAGATGTGTCCCAGCTAACTACAAATTATTTCGCTCGTTCTACTAAAGTGCTATTGTCTACGCTGAAGGACAATATTTTCGTTGTTTTGGGAAATAAGCAAACCTGTAGAGCAAACGTAGATACAGGTAGTGAGTGTTGTTATGTTTCTAAAAAATTTGCAGAAAAACTAGCGTTACCGATAAAAAAGAGTGCTGTTACTATTTACGGGTTAGGAGGTATGGAAATGTATAAATTTAGGCCAAATTTCGGTTACTGTTACCCGTCTAAATAAATCGCAGCATACTTTAAATCTTGATGCTATTGTCATGGATAAAATTTGTGGTAATATGCCTTCTACTACGATTGATGTGAGAGAATGGTCTCATATCAAGGACTTAGAATGGGGTAACCCGGAATTCTTCATTTCTCAACCAATAGAATTAATTTTGAATGCAGATTTGTTCCAATGTATTCTTATTGAAGGACACATTGATTCCTCTCAGAGTAATTTACCTCGACCAATCGATATATTGGATATATTTTCATGGGACAATTCGATTCTCATGTGTGAGAAAAAACTCTTTTCCTATCGTTCATGACAGCAAGCAAATAGCTCACGTACGCTAAAGCAATATCCACTAACGCCTCACTAGTGTACACATGTGCCATTTTTATTAATAAATAACTAAAAACATAAATTCGCAAAGTACATTATTATTTACTTCACAAAAATCGACCGTTTCTCATGCAGATCACCCATGATACAGATTAAAGCTTATTTACACGTTCTTATCAGTATGAAGAAACAAAAATTTCCTGGTATTATTTGACAGTTGTTTCAACAAATTATTAATGCGTGTTCTAATATCACGACGATGAACGCAAAATACAGATATTTATTTTTCAATTTATTATTGAATCTCACGTTTATAACTTAATTTCTGTAGGACTTTTATTACCTTTTTTTTTGTCAGAAATTAACTTCTTTCTTAACAGTGCATATGTGGTTGAAATTTGTCGGATAAGGTGTGAAACACTCTGTATATGGGTAGTATTTAGGTAGAATATCTTAATCAATGCTCTAACATACGTATCCCTCTCTATATCTCGCTTGTGGCAGACAGACCTGATTAGACCTGCAACAATACAACAAATTATAAAATGCATAGGCCTTTATATTGAATTTTAGAATCTTAAGCTCTAAAATGCATATTTTTATAAGGATTAAAGTTTTGTTCCTTTTCTTTTTTGATTCTACCCATACAACATAAATAAGTAATTATTTCAATTCTTTGAGCATCAGCAAATGAAAAACCATAATTCTAATCAAAAAGCTTGAAAGAATGAATGAATGAAACATGAAATTAGAGGCATACCAGCCATCTTAAGGAGCCAGCGCATAGGCCACTTAGACGGGCCCTTGTGCACCTCTCCATTTCTTAGACCTCAATAAGTCTCGCCATTCTAGCAAAGTTGAGTATGTCCTTGAGTCCAAGCTTCATCATGTCCTGAGGGTCCAAAGTGATGGATCCCAGTATAGTCTGCCTGTAGTAGCTAAGAGCCTCACAGCGACACAGAACGTGCGCCGAGGTATCTTCCTCTACTCCGAAGCGCTCACACAGGGGATCCTCAGCCACCCCCATCACGTGCAGATGGCGCCTTAACGAGATGTGGCCAGACAACAGTCTCACCAGCAACCTTAAAATGACTCTGTCCAAAGATAAGCAGAAACGTCCATCTTTAGCGCTGCGCCCTACAATGAGTTCCCGTGCCTGACGGAGATGTCTGAAGATGCTTCTCCATTTCTGAGAGTGTTGTCTTGCAATCCACTTATCAATTTTCCTCCTAACTCTTTGCCCGGGCACCCCTACTAAAGCTGGCTCAGGATCAACGACGAGGTTGCTGGCTGATCCTGTCTTCGCCAGAGCGTCCCCCGTCTCATTGTCCTTTATCCCAGCGTGCGCATTCATATTTAATTTTTTTAATAAATAATTTTCTTAGTATCGAATATTGATTTATACAGGGTGTTTCAGTTTATTGTTGCATAACATTAAGATTCGATAGAACTTTTAAAATTAATGCATAAAGTCTATATAAACATGGGTCGAAAAATGCGTGGCTCCCGAAATACAGGGTGTTTAAATTTACTTTCTAAAATAGTTTTTTTTTAAATATTTCGAACAATATTTGATGTATAACAGTGAAAATTGGTATACAAGGGTTTTTTGGTTCGCCAAAACGAACCATGGGCATAGTTTTACTGTAGCCGCTAGAGGGCGCTCTCTACTGTACCTGTAGTGTATTAAAAAGACCGAAAAAAATTTTCTTAGTGCAATTTTTGCTTTTTGAATAAAAAAACTGATTCTTTACAATGTTCAACATAAAAAAGCTATCCTGTAAGTTTTCGTTGTAGTTAGCCGTGTTTGAGATATTTCGATTTTTAAGGTTCGATGCATTTTTAATTATTTATGGGAAAATAATATTTTTTTTACATTTTCGATTTGGGCATTACAAGTAATTAAGATGATCGTTTAGATTGTGTTTTTGAAAAAATCAATAATTTCTAACTCCAAATAAACACAAAAAAAAACAGAATATTAATTTGTTTAATTTTCCAGTATTATTTTTAACAAATTAAATTAATTATTTACAACTAAAATGCTATTGGATAGTTAGGACAAACATACAAAATCTAAAGTAGTTGCTCGAAATGTAAACCCAATTGTTCAATACACAATTCACATCTACGAATGATCGAACGTGGTATACCATTATTCAAATAAGGCCTTATTTCATCACATGCATTCCTGATTCTGTCTATTAGCATATCGCTTGTGGTTACGGGAGTCTGGTGCACTTTTTCTTTTAGAAATCCCCACACAAAGAAATCTAATGGATTTAGGTCAGGGGATCGTGGAGGCCAGGCGACTGGTCCTCCACGGCCGATCCATCTTTCTGGATAATTTTCATCCAGCCAGTTTCTAACTATTCTCGAATAATGAGCTGGACAACCATCAAGCTGGAATCATGCCAAATTTCTTAAATCTAACATAACATCATCCTACATATTTGCATGTTCGGCCTTTAAAAATTCCAAGAAGGTCGCAGCATTTAACCTTGCAGGCAAAAGGTAGGGTCCAAATAGTCGATTACGGTAATTACCAATCCACACGTTCACACTAAATTCATGCTGAAAATTTCTTTCCCGAACTGCATGCGGATTTTCGTGCGACCAAATATGTTGATTATGAAAATTTACCACTCCACGTCTAGTGAAGCATGACTCATCGGTCCATAAAACGTTACTTAAAAACTCCCTATTATTATCAGTTCTATCAGGAATCCACTGACAAAATGTGATTCTTCGTTCTCCGTCCCCTGGCTGTAGTCGTTGCACAGGTTGCAAATGATAAGGACGTCTAGGGTCATTTCTAAGAACACGGTGAACATGGCTTGCTGAAATTCCCAAGGCACCAGAAACTCTCCTAACACTTGTGGTCGGATCTCTATCAAACTCACGGAGAATCATACGGGTAAATCTGCCCTGACAAACATTTATGTTTTGATCCCATTGGAGATTTCCAAAACCGTTTTCAATTATTTGGCGATGCACTCTTACAAATACTGAGCGAGTTGGATGTCGTCTGTTTGGAATTCTTCGTGCGTATTCTCTGGCTGCTTCTGCTGCGTTTCCATTTACAAAGCCATACACAAAATGAATATCCGCTAACTCTTGATTGGAGAATAAAAATGGCATTTTTATAAAACTTACAAAAAAAAAACAGGTTAAAGAAACTAAATTTCGTGCATTCACAATTGCAAAAAAACGTTTCAGGTTTCAACAGACAACAAAACTGTCAACTAACTGACGTTTAACCTTATTCTGCTTTCAGGTTCAAAAATATTTGGAGACACAGCCTACTTCTAAAAATTATCGAGATACTGGCTTTTTAAGGTTATTTTATCATAAATAATTAAAAATGCATCGGACCTTAAAAATCGAAATATCTCAAAAACGGCTAACTATAACGAAAATTCACAAGAGACCTTTTTTATGTTGAAAAGTGCGAAGAATCAGTTTTTTTATTCAAAAAGCAAAAAATTGCACTAAGAGCAATTTTTCGGTTATTTTAATACACTACAGGTACAGTAGAGAGCGCCCTCTAGCGGCTACAGTAAAACTATGCCCATGGTTCGTTTTGGCGAACCCAAAAACTCTTGTATACCAATTTTCACTGTTATACATCAAATATTGTTCGAAATATTTAAAAAAAACGATTTTAGAAAGTAGATTTAAACACCCTGTATTTCGGAAGCCACGCATTTTTCGACCCATTAATTTTAAAAGTTATATCGAATCTTAAAGTTATGCAACAATAAACTGAAACACCCTGTATATTCGATATTACCTTTACAAGCTCGAGCTGGACTCTTTAACTCGTCTTACCTCAAGTTAGAATACATGATTAATAGAAAAGTGGGGTTAGATCACCATAACCTAATTTTCATGTTTTTATTCTTTCCTAAAATTAAAGATAAATGTTTACATGCGTTGTTGTTAATCAAAATAGGAAGTTAAAAACGTATATTGCTAAGAGGGAATGTTCATAATTGTGCAATGCAAGGAGCGCTGAAGATTTTCTTGAGAGGTAGAGCTGTGGTTAGAGAAATGAGCCACTTTTCAACTGCTCGTAGTTCTGGTAAGTAAATTGTAATTATTCCGAGACGATATGGTCTAATGTTATGTTTAATAAGAAGTTATAGTTGAAAAACTGGGGCAAATAACTACAATTGGTTTAAACAGGCCAAGTAAAAGAAACTGCATAGACTTGGATACAGCCAAACGCTTAAGTGAAGAGATACAGAACTTTGAACAGGATGATGATGCTAGTGTAGCTGTCTTTCATGGAACAGGAGGCAACTTTTGTTCTGGATATGATTTAAATGAATTGGCAAACTCAGAAGTCATTGAAAAAGAAAAGATAGAGAATGGCCTACTGGTAAGTGATTTTGATATCTATGCAAGATCTGAGTAAATCGGAACAACAGCTTAAACAGCCTAATCTAACTAACGTGTGTCGTGCTTGTTTTTGCTTACTATAGCTATTGCTGAGAGAAAATTTTCAAATTTGAACCAGTGCTTCGTCTACATGTGAGTAATTGTTTTAAATTATACTTAGAAATACTGGTTTTGAGGATTAATTGCAAAATGCAAATAAGTACACAAAAACCAGCACGAGAAAAAACGACCAATGAGTATATTCCTAATCACCATATATTTACGAAAGACAAAATAATAATATAAGCAAACAAACAGACACGTATCCAGTAGAAACTGGTAGCTAGGTTCAAATGTTGTGAAAAAAGCTCTTTCTTATTTTTGCATGTCATGCCATGCAATTTTTCACCCGATCTGTGCAAATAGATTGAGCTCAATTGTGAAGCTCTCAAATAACAGAATATATTTATGAAATACAAAATAATAAATAAGAAAACAAACAGACCCGTATCTGGTAGAAAATGGTAGCTAGGTTCAAATGGTACAAAGGAAAAGAAGCCTAGTTTTGCATATTATCATGCCATGCAATTTTTCACCCAAGCTGTGTAACTGGTTGATTTCAATTGTGAAGCTCTCAAATAACAGAATATATTGTTCTACTGGCTCTTAGCTACTACAGGCAGACTATACTGGGGTCCATCACCCAGGACATTAAGGAGCTTGGACTCAATGCCATACTCAAGTTCGGAAGAAAGGCAGGCTTGCGGTCTAAGAAATGTGGAGGTGCACAAGAACCCATCTGAGTGGCCTATGTGCTGGCTCCTTATGGTGGCCGGTGTGCCTCTAATTTCGTGTATTCATTCATTCATTCAAGCATAACACAGAGGCTGCAAATATAACAAGTAATCTTTTCACTCAAACTATGGATCATGGACAAAATGACTATGTTGTTATTGTTTTCGGCACAAAAAGTATTGGCGACCACAAAACATTGAACAGTTTTCTTAAAAATATATTACCACTGGGTAAATTTACAAATCTAGTAATTCCGAGCCTGTAGATGAAACCTTAGCAGTTATATTGGAAAACAAAGTAATGTGTTGTATAAAAAGTAACCCTAACTGTTCAGTGAAGATCTTGGTAGTGAAAAGTGGTTTTCGCAAATCACCAGCAAGCATCATAAGAAGTAATGTGCAAACGAGCTGTTCAGCCCTGAAAGAAACGTATTGTTATCGCCTCCAATAATCCCAATTTATAAAATGGAACATTGTCAAGTGCTTTGCACTGGTAATTATCCTGGTGCCGTTTTACTAGCCAGTGTGAATCCGACTCTGACCACCTAGTACGACATGATTCAGGTAACCAGAATATAACGAAGAACCCCTTTTTACACGCTCGCGTCTGTGAAATGGACACGAATGATTGTCGGTATAAACTTTTACATTTGAACGTACAGTTTTTGAGAAACAAGGTTGATGAACTTGAGGTGGTGGCAAAACAGCATAGTTATTACTTTCCTTGTTTGAATGAGCATTGGTTGACTTGCGATGAGATAAATACTCTGAATATTTGTGAATATATGAATGTGTCTAGTTTTTGCAGGTCAAGCAAAACCCACGGTGGTGTTTGTATTTATGTCAATAGTAAGTTTAGTGCTAAGCCTTTGTCTGACAAAGTTTTAAATATTACTGACGAGTTACACTTTGAGGTCGCTGGTGTCAGCTGTTTGGACGGCACACAAATCCTAACTATATACAGTAATGGACAAAAGTATATAGAGACAAATATGGATATTTACCTAAATACCTTTAGAAAACGAATGCATACTTCATTGCTCCATAAACAAATGCGTTATTAGAAGAAAAACTAAATTCCTTGTTTTTACATTATCTGCAATGAACACAATACAAGACTGATAAGCACTTTTTTATGAGGTACAAAAATATGTAGACAAATACTTTTCAACATTAGTTTAGTACAGTTTCGTGTCAGAAGAGGATTAATTTGGGTTCATCAAGTATTGTGGAATAAGTTGAGTGATTTTAAGACCATGCCGCGTGGTCCAGAAATTTCTTTCGATGTGAAAAGCAGTTTGGGCAATATTGAACAAATATAAACAAAAAGGTATCTTGGAAGCCTCTAAGAGAAGTGTCAGCCTAGAAAACTAAATGCTAGTTCAGTTAGATTAATAAAAGTAATTTCGTCCAAAGATCCGTTTAAAACCCCAAGACAAATAAAATTAGAAATCGAGACAAAAAGAATTGTTAGTGTTTCTACGAAAGCTATATAGAAGATTAAATAATTTGAAGTTATTTGCGCATCGCCCGAGTAAGAAGCTGCTAATCTCGAGGAAAAACCGTAAGAACCGATTACAATTTGCACGGTTGCATCTTGATTGGAGCATCTGTGACTGGAAAAGGGTATGTTTCAGTGACGAATCCAAGTTCAATATTTTTGGATCAGATGGTGTTCATTACGTTAGACGTCCTAGTGGACAAAGATTGAACCCCAAGTACACTTTGCTCAATGTCAAACATGGAGGTGGGTCTGTTATGGTTTATGGTGCTTTTCGGGGTTTGGGATGGGACCTTCAGATAGAATGGATGGCATTATGGATAAGCTTGTATACACAGACATGCTAAAGCATGTCATGTTACCCTATATGGAAGACAATATGCCCTTAAGATCAATCTGCCAGCAAGATAATGACCCGGAGCACACTTCAAATCTCGCAAAGAAATTTTTTCTGGATGAAAAAATACCAGTTCTCCAATGGCCTTCACAGTCTCCCGATATAAACCCCATTGAAAATCTATGGGAATACTTAGATAAGCAAATACGAGATAAAAACTATTCAAACAAGGATGAACTTTTTGCCGCTTTAGAGCAAAAGTGGAGACAAATTATATCAAGAAACTTCTACAATCACTTAATTTTTTATTGAAGGGAGTCTAATGAATTTATTTATTTATAAGTGAGTATTATGCTAATTATGCGAATTATGTATACAGGTTGGTGTATTCATAAAACAAGTTAAAAACGAAATACAGCACAATATTAATTTGTCTATATACTTTTGTCCTTTACTGTATATAGGTCACCAGATGGTGACCTCAATATATTCTATGATAATCTTCAAATACCACTTAGCTCTTTAGACTATGAGCACAATCTAATTTTTATTTTAAATTTAACACTAATGACAGGCATGCCAACGTGATGTGTGATATTTGTGTTTCTTTTGGACTATCATATTTAATGTGAAAACTGTAAAACCTGATAGGAAGAGAATAAACTGTAGGACTGTTACTGATCAAGGTCTTTTCAAATCATACAGTAAAATTGAGACAGTCGACTGGTTCTTTTTGTCTGATATTAGTCTATCACTGACCACTAAATTCGAATGTTTCATAAACATCTCAACAAGTAATGTCGCTGAGTGCTTGCCAATCAAATTTAGGTTAGTATCAGAGGGTTGTCGCAACAAAATCAACTGGTTTAATCACGAATTGGTTCAGATGAGAGAAAATTGGAAACTACTAACACAAATTAATAAAGATAATTCCCAGGTGGTATCAAAGAATCAAGAAAAAAATGCTCATGATAGATAGAGCGTCAAATAAACAAGGAGCTATGTGGAATGTGGTTAAAGCCAATAGTGTGCAATCAAAATCCCATTCGTCTACTCTCAACGCGATTGATTTAAACGCTTTCTTCGTCAGCATTGCCGAAACCATTATTACTGAAATTCCAGCTACCCAGTTAAACTTCAAAGATTTTATTCAGACTAGTGATACACTACATTTCAACTTTCCAACTGTATCATTCAACGATGTTCGCAATCAGAAGCTTAAAGAATTCTAAATGTAAAGGTCCTTATGACATTGACGTTAATATTATGAAGACCTTAAATAACTTGATAGTGTATCTTATAACAAAATTGATAAACAGATGTATAGAAAATAATGTATCTCCTGCCTTTTTAAAACTTGCGAAGATTATCCCACTCTTCAAGAAAAGATGTGAGAATGATCCATGAAATTACAGACCCATGTCTATAATACCAATTATAGCAAAATTTTTCGAAATGCCTCTGAAGAATCAGATGTGTGAATACTTCGAAGGTAACAATTTATTCTGTAATAACCAATTTGGATACCGTACCAACAGATCAACGAAAGTAGCAATAAACGATTTTATCAGCTTCATCAACAAATGTCTGGAATATAACATGTTTGCTCTCGCTAACTTCTATGATATTACAAAAGCATTTGATTGTGTCCACATTTTGATTCAAAAGTTGTCGCTATATGGTTTTAGTAATAACAGCCTGCCTTAATTGCGTCTTATTTATCAGACAGAAGACAGTATTTTAGTTTTAAAAAATGTTTATCTAACAATGTACATATTAACCACGGAATTCCCAAAGGAAGTGTCTTGGGACCGATTCTATTTTTGATTTACATCAATGATCTGCCAAACTATAGCATCAATCAATATATATTATTTCCGGATGACAATATCCTCCAATCATAACTTTGAGCACGTATTACTCAATTCTCATCAACATTTTGACATCATTCAAAACTTGTTTAATGCCAACAGTTTGCCAATTAAGATAGCGAAAACTCAATCTCTTCTACTCAGTACTCGTCCACATAAAAGTAATTTAGTAGAGCCCCTGAAATTTCTTGGAGTGATTATTGATGCGAACTTAACTTTGGAATCGCACATCACCTCTTTATCAAATAAGTTGTCTGAAATAACTTATTTAATCCGTAGTTTAAATACCTACGTAACAAAATCGACTTTAATGACAGCCTATTATGCTTTCTTCCAATATAACTTACAATATTGCTTACTGATTTGGAGTCATTCATGTCATGTATCGGAGGTATTTGCTGTTCAGAGACGATGCTTGAGAATAATAGCAAACTTACGTTTCAGACAGTGTTGCGAGACGGCATTTATTGACCTAAAAATTTTAACTGTACCATGCGTATATATACTGGAATGTCTGATCCATGTTAAAAATAACTATGATGATTACAGCAATCCGAAAGAGATTCACAAATATAACATAAGGTTCAACAATGAGTTAATACCAGAATACACAAGACTTTCAAAAACTAGACACGGAAGTAATTATTTCGGCGTAAAATTATTTAATGCTCTGCCCAGGTTTTGTGAAACACTCAGCTCAACCATTTTTAAAGCAACTGTGATAATATATTTAGTGAAGAAAGCTTTTTACAACATAGATGAGTTTTTAGATAATGATTTTACCGACTTTGTTCCATAATTGTTGTCTATTTGTTGTATTACTCAGTGTTTGTTTTCGTTTGTATTTTTTTGTGTAACTATGTGTTATTTTTGTATTACATTTTATTGTTCTCCAGGCATGTTTAAGCACTTTTGTGTACAAACATGAACAAATTATTATTATTACTTTATAATTTTTAAACCATCTGTTTATTGTTCATCTAAATTTTAACTTAGGTTTTATCAAGTTTTTTACCTTTTATTGCCACGTTGTGTTTTATGTTTGTCTTATTTTGTTGTTTTTACTTACTCTTTTATGTTCTACTCAAACTGACATGTGCAAAGAGATTTTTGTGTAGTAGCACCAATAAATTATTATTATTATTAATCTATACTATTGAGTTGGTGGAGAAGCTCTGTAAATTTTGACAGAGATGACAATGCTGTGAATGTATACAGCTTCAATTTGTGAAATTGGCAGTTCTTTATAGAGGTGCAAGCTTTCTGCTCTCAGCAAAATGGTCTTAATGGTTAAAGATTCTGATCAATAATTGAGGTTTTCTAAAATCAGGTCTGTGTTTTTTCAACCAAAGTTCCTGACATTCTATACACGTAGCATAATGATTCTACAAGAACATTGAATGAAAGGGGCAATACACTAAAGATATCATATGTATACAGTGCTTTTCAAAAAGGTTCCCTTACCTTATTTTTAGATCAAATTAACTGAAATTGACAATAATGAAACTAATGTAAGCATACTATATTCTACTGTAGAAGTGGTAGTTTATAACCCTAGAATATAGAATCACTATTGTCGGAAATGGCTGCCAATGTTGAGGTTTCTTGTATATTGAATTGCTGCAAATTTTTTCCTCCAACTCAATATAAAAGTAACATAACGAATTTGTAGTAGAATGTACTAAAATCGTATATATCCAACCAACAATGCTGTAGTAATAGGCCTGATATGTATCAGCTGTCAACTGAATTACATAAGCGTAATGCTTAGTGCTGATACACTGACGAGTGGATGGCACAACCTTAGGGATTTATTCTGAAATGAGACTTTGCATAGTAATTTTACTTCTTTAGGGTATTCACCCCTGGGAATGGCAACATGCAACTAACTAGTAAGGTTTTACGAGTGTCAGCAGTGAAATAGCCTAGTTGGTAACGTGTTTGCATGTCGCGTGGGCGCTCTGGATGTAAAAATGCCGCAAAATTTGAATACATTAGTATAGTAACCAAAATTTTTATCCTGTTGGTCCCTCATTCTATGAGAGCATTCTTTTTATTCAGTAGAAAAACAGATTACTCTCACATGAATACTGTGTATATTTTGTCAAAACCTGTTTGGTAGCATCCAAGATAAAGTTTTATGACGTTTTGTATGAATTAATTTAAAACATAATAAGATTCTAATGATAGAAGTAATTATAGTTACTATTTATAAATATTGCAAACATCAGTTATATTAGTTAAAAGGTTGTTACCTAATTAAATTATGTTTTAAAGTTTCGGAAGCCTTTTTCCTTAGCATAATAAAATTATTTGGAGTACAATTACCACTCCACGTCTAATCTCAAAGTAAGTTCCCAAGATCGCGCCCTCCCCTTGTGGGTAGTGTTCCCTGAATTATCGAGATGCAATTAATAGAGTGTCATTTTTTAGGGTTTGCCATGGCACATAAGGAAGCCTACAGTGGCAGCAGTGAATGGGTATGCTGTTGCAGGTGGTTTTGAATTGGCTTTACTTTGTGACCTAAGGGTAATGGAAGACACGGCTGTGATGGGACTATATGGCAGGCGATTTGGTAAGTGCTTCTTGAATAAAGGTTCCACTAGAATAATCTTATGGTTTTTAAGCATATATTATGCGCAATAATAATAAAACCTTGAGAATACTTTGAAAGAAGTCGTATTTTCCTTATTTGCTTGGTGCTGTTTTGAGAAAAAATGCAATGCCTATCGCAAACCAAACTGTATTAAGTCTGTTTCTATTGGCTTTCAAATTTGTTTTTTTTTGTAGGGATTCCCCTAACAGATGGAGCCACAGTGCGACTTCAATCCATGATTGGCCTCTCCCGAGCTTTAGATTTAATTTTAACTGGAAGGTCATTGTCAGCCAAAGAAGCCTTTGAATGGGGTGTGGTCAATAGGATAGTTGCTTGTGGAACAGGTAATAAATACCCTTTTATGCTAAAACTTGTAAATTATGTCTTTTCAATGATGTTACATTGTCATTTGCTTAGTTAGATTCATATTTGAACATTATGCACCACCAATGAATGTCTTGAAACTAACAGAATATGAGGTTCTGCTAAAATAAATTTAAAAGAAAGCTATTCTGAAAATGTTGATGTGTTATGTATATATTTAAATGTGAATGTCTGTCCAGTCTCTCAACATCACGACTGAACCACAATACAGAGAGACGTAAAATTTGCACACTTAAGCTTTGGATTTATCCGCAACGACATCCAGGGTGCATTAAGAAGTATGAATGGATTAAAATATCAGGGAAAATACGTTTCTTAGGAAAAAATATAGTGGAAAATTTTTTTTTAGTTTTGAACAGATTCAAACGTTGGTGATCTTAAACATGTCCTCCTATTTTTGATACCGGAAATGTAAAGAGCAGGAAAATTTACGTTGAAGAACTTTGCCCATGACCTTGACCATGATCCTCATGGGTATTTGAGGGAGTCCAGGAAAATCTCAATAAATACGTTTCATAAAAAAATTGCGTAATAAAGTCCTACGGTTTATAGGAATCCATCTAATGGTGACCTTGAACGTGACCAAGCTGATTTGAAGCCTAAGACTTATTTCTTAAAGGGGACCCCTATTTTTGACACCGGAAATAAAAAGAGCAAGAAACTTTATGTCCAAGTATGTCCATGACCTTGACTATGGCCATTTGAACATAAAATGAAGTTTTATCGTGAAACATCTATTTTTATTCCTGAAATGCAAATTGCAGACAATTTTTGCCTGAGCTCCGCCGCCACTGGATCGATTTTCATAAAATCTAAAGCTTTTTCCTTCTTGGCATAGTGGTAACCTTCTGAGGAAATTTCAATCAAAATCCGACTAGTATTTTCCAAGTTATGGAAGGGACAAGGGTTAGCAGACAGGCAGACTGTCCGATGGAAATGAGTGACATAGTGTTTAGTGATGCACATGTCATATTACACCCAAAAACATAATATCTCATTTTCGGAATTTTTTGCGATTACAATACTTTCACGCCAGTGGCATATGGAGTAAACATGTGCCTATGTTGATTTCAAAACTCATTTATCATTTTTTTTCTGTAATACTGGTAGGTAAGTTCGTTTTCCTTAGTAATTGTAAGAGTAGCGAACTGCCCAGCCCTTCTATATACAGGGTGGCCAATATGTAACTGATTGGTTTGTATCTTGAATATTTGTGAAATGGAAAAAAATACGTCCATTTTTCTCATATTAATCTTTTATTGAAACTTATTTAGAATTTATGTATGAAAAATAAAATCAGACAAATGTCCTCCTCTAGAAGCCGCGCAAACGTGAGCCTTCTTCATTACATTTTCCATCACTTTTTGGTAGGTTTCGGGAGGAATATTTTCAATCGCTTCCGGAATATTGTTCTTCAGCTGCTCGACAGTATTAGGTTTGTTGGCAGAAACTCTATTTTTCAAAAATCCCCATAAAAAAAGTCAGGAGCCGTTAAATCCAGTGACCTTGGTCACCAAATCGAGAAATTGAACGTCCCTGAAATATTGTTCGCAAAAGATTAATTCTTTCCCTAGCTGTGTGACAAGTTGCTCCGTCCTGCAGGAACCTAGGCTGTAGTTCTTGGTTTTTTATGGCCGCAGATGCAATTCTTTTTTTAGAATAGTGCATAATGACGTGCTACGAATACCCACTTCTTGAGAACGACGTTTGGTAGACGTCTCGGAGCGCTGCACTAAACTTTCACGAACTCTCTCGATATTTTCCGGAGTACGCCTTTAACTTCACATGTTTGTTCAAATTTGCGCACCAACTGACGAATGGTGTTGTCACTGAAATGCGTGTATCAAAAATAGCGCACAATTTAAATCAGTCAGTATTGGCCACCCTGTATAAATATCTTCTGTCTAAGAACTTCACTTTTGCTTATGCGAGAGAACCCAGCAACAAGTCCGTATATTAGTACCGGATAGATGCATGCTTCAATTATTTTAACTGATATCAAAGCTTTCGAACTAAAACCAGTGATAGACACAGAGTATGCGTTCATAAATCTTTATTAAATAGGACCGTCTGTACTTTCCGTTTAATTAAGGTCAGACCTAAGGTGTTTGATCAAAGACGTGAGTTAAGATTGTCCGCTTCCTATTTCACATATTTTTGTATCATCTACCCAAAAATAACATTTGATAAACAGATCAAAAACTGGAACATACATAAATATCAAATTCATGAAAGCTGCTCAAGCATTGATTGGTGCATCAACAACTTCAGAGACATCAAAAAACTGGAATTGTAAAATTCCAAGTGTGAACCTTCTATTTTGTACGGCTCATAATATCTATTTTTGACCATCATTTAAGTCGATCGATTTGATCCTGCCATTATTGAACTCTCAATTTTTCTGTTGTAGGATTGGGACAAGCTATAAACCTTGCATCCTCTTTGGTGAAATTTCCTCAAGAGTGCATTTTAACGGATCGAGAATCCACGTACAATGCTGCGTTCAATAAGGCATACGAGGAGTTACTTCAGAAGGAAAGAATAAATGCAAAACAACTGTTCCAGAAGAAGAGTATTGTTGATGGTGCTAAAAAATTTCTGTCGGGACTAGGAAGGCATGGGAAAACGTACAATTTAGCACCCAAAGATATATGCGAATGGGAAAAGGAGTTTGTTAATACTAAGCCAAAAAGTAAATTGTGATTTTCTCTTGAATGTAGTTTCTTCATTGTGTATATTTTTGTAAATAAAAATGTAATTATTTTGTTTTGAAATTGAGGTTAAGTTTTATTCAGTTTGTTTTTCGCCTTTTACTTAGGCAGCAGGAAACAGCTTACCGGCATATGTGAATTTTTTCTATGAAGCTCTACGCTACGCGAAACACTCATTGCACAGGCGTGTTCCATTGTCACTCAGGGGAGCATTAAGTACTCACCGTGCTTCGTGCATTGATAATATGTAAAATTTGTATAAATTAAACACGTGCTACATAGGATCTGTCTACTTTCTGTTTCTGCGACCAACCTTAAACAACATTGTTTTATACTTCTTAGCAATCATCAGTACGTTAGAACTCCATTGTCTGGCCGGTAAATCAAGCATTGTATGTTTCAGTTATTGTTTACCCTACGTCGTAGCGTTTTTCTAGTATAATGAGAGTTAATGACGATATATTTTGTTTTAGTTGCTGATTAGTGTACCTATTACGTTTGCACAATGACAATTAATGACAAAATATATTAGTCGTAGTACAGTATGGCCAGTAACAAAAACATATGTGGTTTGATTTAGCAGCCGAACAATGGGTTCCTATCCATCATCTAAACCACAAGGTATGGTTCAGGCCGGGATTTCAACGTGCCACTTTAGGTCTATCTAACATCATTAACACGCAAAAAGAAGGTAGTAGACGTGGACAAGATTGTCCGCATGCTTCCTCACCTAAGCTGCGCAGCCGGTTATCTTCCCTAACAAAGAAATCAATGATGATGGATCCCTTGAGTACTCAGAATTCCGGACGCAACACACTCCACTCTCGGAATGTCCGAGTGGAGGGTGGACTCGAGGGAACAACATCGATGATAAAACTTGTTTCCCGGACATCTGCGGGATTAACAGCAACATTGATGCTGTTCATCACTACCTGCAATCTAATCGACCCGCCATGCTTTTCTTGACGCAGTCAAAAATCTCAGAGTCTGCACCGACTAATCATCTTAGCTTCCCAAATTACGAGGTGCACTCCAATCTGAGAAAGAACGGGGAAGTTATGACTTTTGTCCAAAGCAGTCTTTCCTGCTTCCGTGTCGTCTCTTTGGAATAAGACCGGAAGGACTTTCTGTGGCTTCGCCTCAACTCCAAAACATCCCCCAAATTTGTTTGCTGCCTTTATGGCTCTCCAGACCATAACTGGGATGACCTACTTGAATACCTCGCTGTTAAGATCGACTTTTTAAACATCAACCACCCCGCTTCAGAGGTATTTCTCCTCGCTGATCTCAGTGTCCATAATGAGTTCTGGTTAGATTCAAACGAGACCGACGCAGCAGGTCGTGCAGTTGAAGCGTTCGCTGTTATCCAAGGACTGGCCCAGCCGGTGGCGAGCCTTACTTTTTGCCTCAAAGTTTCGTCAAACGCCAGTAGCCTACTGGATCTCTTTCTGTCCACGCATCCTGTCAGTTACAGCACTGCTGTCCTGTCTCCCCTAGACCACGGTGTTGTGGAGGTTAGGCTTTGGTCAGAACCCGCTGTGGCAGCAGAAATTCGACCAGGCCGCAAAATTTGGCATTACGAACATGCCGACTGTGAGGGGCTCGGAGACCTCTTGTCCACCTTTCCTTGGAAAGATGTTTGTTTCGCTGACATGGATGCGTCGGCCATCTTATCATCGATAATCGAAATTATCCACGTTGGGACACACTGAAAGTGCCTAAACCAGGGTCTAACGTCTGGTTCAACAAATCGTGCGACACTGCTCTCAGCAGAAGATCAAGGAACACAGAACAAACAAAATCCCACTGTAGAGAATATACAAGCCGACGTCGAGATCCAGAAACAGATATAACGAAGCGGTCCGCAATGCTAAACACCAGCAGGATATAAAAGTTAGGCAAAGGGTAATGCTGCAGCGCCATAGCAGTCGGTTTTTCTGGACGCTGGCCAAGCAGATTGAAAGGAACTTCTCACAGAAATGTAGTATAATTGTAGTCTTCCACCACTTAAGTGAGAGGATGGAACGATTTTAACCGACTCGAAGGCTAAGGCGGAAGTGTCAAGGTCTTTGCTGGCAATTCGACCCTGGACGTCCTCCCCCCAATCCCCAAGTGCCGTCATTTAAGAGATTCCCTGCACTATGCGGGAAGTAACAATTAATCATAAGACCGTGAGAATGGTGCTTTCGTTGCTGGGCATCAACAAAGCTTCTGGTCCGGGCTTGATTCCTGCCGTTTTATTAAAGAGGTGTACAGCGGAGCTTGCTCCAGTTATTTCGCGTCTCTTACAGATGTCCTGCGAATACGGCACCTTCACAGAAAACTGGAACTAAGACCGACCCTTACAACTACAGGCCTATAGCTCTGCTTTCCGTTATACCTAAGTAAGATGATGGAGAGGTTCATAAATCCCGAGCTTCAGGACTACCTTGAACGTCACGGCTTGATTAGCGACAGGCAGTATGGTTTCCAGCACCAGCGATCCACCGGGGACCTCCTAGCGTACGTCACGCAATTGTGGAGTAAACTCACCCAGTCTTATGGTGAGGCTCATGCAGTTGGTTTTGATATCACGAAAACGTTTGATCAGCTGTGGCACGCTGCCCTAATATGCAAAGCTCCATCCTATTGCCTCCTAAAGAAGCTTTGCAGATGGGTCACTGACTTAGCTCTGACCGCAAGAAATCCGTCGTAATTGGCGGGTTCTCCTTTTCATCGCACAACATGAACGCGGTAGTTTCCCAGGGATCGGTATAGGCTCCGCCACTGTTACTCTTACATATTAACGACCACCTTTACTGTACGATTAATCCAATCTACAGCTTTGCTGATCACAGCACAATACATGCAGGAATTCAGAGCGACAAGCCGGTGAGCTGGAAAAGGAAGACTAGCAGCGACATCTTCTCTGACGAGAGACCTAGAGGTTATCACTGCCTGTACAGTTTAATGCTTCCAAAACACAGTACTGTTCCTTGACGAAAAAAAAAAACAGCGTGCTAGCTCATCCAGAGGAGGGCTATTCGACTAATGGATGACTCTTCTTCAACAGACAGACTCAGGACCGTTTCGCACTGGGGGGTCGTCGGCTATCTAGTTCTCTTCTACCGCTACACCAACGGGCTCTTGAAGCTTTCCTCCATGATGCTGCCGCGTGATATATGCCCCCCATTACAGGCACCCGCAATACTTCGGCTTCCCAGCCTAACCGTGTCGAACTTCGTATATCCTGAACTGGCCGATACGATCGCTCCTTTGTCCCTATTGTGTCGAGATTGTGTTCTACTAAATTTAGGCAGTTCGAAAATCGGATTAACAAAGTTTCTTTGGAAACCTCATAGCAGCCGCGGTGTCCTGGAATTTAGGCTTCTGCCTCCGCGGCTGCTAAGTGTAAAAAAAATCTTTTAGTTTTACGTGAAAGGACGCATACATAGGATCCAAAAAATGGAGTCAAGAAGTTTGACATAGTACTTCCCTGGCATCCATATAAATCTATTTAATAATCTAGCTGCATGGAGATTTTAACCAGCAATTAGTGAAATTTGCTCGATCTCAACATTTTTGAGCTTCCTAAGCTTAACAGAAATTCGATAAATGGTTATTTCGGAATGTTCCGTTGTACGTTATCATTCATAGCTTCACCGCCACTATGAAATGAGATACATGGTTTTTAGTGACGTGCACGTACAAATTCGAATATCTCGATTTTGAGATTTTTCGTAATTATAAAACTGCGCCCTCATTTTGGCGTGGAAGCAAGATATGAGTAACAGCATATTTAAGATAGCAGTCTAGGCATTAGGATACCTCCAATACATTAATCTAAATCGAACAAACAAACAAATAATAGTTTGTGACCCTCATACTGAGGTGATCGCGAGACGCATGGCTGCTCCTTGTTGTTGCTAGGTAACCCCGTTTCTGTCAACAAACACATGCCACTGCAAACATATGGAAAACATTCAACCGTAGTTCAACCTGTACATTTTCGTAGTGATCAAAGTTGACCTATTGCATTGTTAAAAAGATATGGATTGGAAATATATTCTTTCTTTGGATCCCAACGAAATTAACGAAGATGCCAAGGATGAACTCTTCAATACAATCACGTGGTTTGAAGTGGAAGAAGAGAGCGGGATGGATTTGAAAAGATGCAAGGCATTGCTTCGTGTCAGTCAACAAGTACTGAAATACAAGGGAGAACAAGTTGAAACTTTACTCCATGAGTTAGAGGAAAATGCAGTTCGGCAAGGGGAAGAGGAAGCAAAACGATTGGAGTCGGAGGCTGACGTTAGGTCCATTAGGTCATCGAGAAAATCAACGTCTATTGAATACGAAAGTAAGATGTAGAATCGGTAGACAGTTTAATACCGTGATACATTTGTGTGTTTTAGATCTAGAACAGAAATACATAGAATTGAAGGCTAAATATAAAAAGGCACTGAAGGTTAATGAGAAACAATCGTCTGAAATCTACAAGGTAAGGGCTGTGTTTCTATAGATCCGTGTTTCTCAAAGTGTACGATAACGTCGACCTGTGTGCGCTGAAACCTAAAAAGCCCGAAGTAGATTGTGCGCCCTGAATTGATTTACGCTTTCCATCAATTGTCTCAAAGACACTCAATTTTCAGTTGTCGATACCAACGAATTCCAGGGCTACACAGTGGAACAAGTTCATAAACATTCAAGGCCACGACTTGCACTGTGATCAAAATTACACTCTACCTGAATCAGTTCACTTCAAAATTAATCCGTGTGTAAAGTAGTTTTAGGCTTAGGCCGCACTACGGTTTTTTCCCGCAGGCGGTTAAAAACCGCGAAATTGGATACGATTTTCACAGTTTGAAGATGGATTTCAAGAGAGCTGTATGTGTTGTTGCTATAATAGGTACTGAGAAGCAGAAAAAGAAAACGTTATCAAAAATTTCGCAAATATTGGGTCCATCCACTGACTAGCCGAAGATTTATGAAAGGAATCTTTCATAAAAAGTATCAATATTTAAGAAATAATTCGTTCATAAAAAGTATCAAGATTTAAGAAAAAGTCCTGAGAAAATTTACAACTACTATCGGAATGGAAAGTTCTGTGCATTAACCATTAACTACGGTAGTGCAGAAAGTATAACGTCATTAACGTTGTGCGGGCTCAGTGACCGCTCATTACTAACAATCTCAATTACAAAAAATAAAATATTTTGCGTATTGTAAATATTTAGGCAGAGTAGAATAAGACCTGAAGTAACACATAACATATTTTTTTTACCATACTTCATTTAAAAAAATAAAAACATCGAGCATCATTCATTTCGACATATTTTTACACAAATTCCTTATCTTAGCTATAAAACAAAACACAATATTCTATGCGGAATTAGTATCAGGTTCTAAAATATGAACAAACTGTCCACTGAAACATAACTTAGTTTGAGTGATAACTTGAAAGGAATAAAAAATACAAGGGGTGAAGAAATCAAAGGTTGTGCTTAAAATTTTAAAAAATTTTTGACGAATGCTCCAAATAAGTAGGCTTATGGCATATTTTACATTAATAAAAAGTTTTTCTTTTAATTCTTGGTGGACAAGTGTGACATGTTTTTCTTTTTTTTATACTTTTTCCTCCGGAACATCCTCTTCAGCACGGTCAGGGTATGATAGAATTCTACGAATTGTAGTCCGAATATCATGCTTTAGTTTTGTATTTTCTGTACGCCTAATAAGATGGGGTCTCACCAATTGCCCTGCAACAGTTTTTAGAACGTATGCTTTTTCGATCTTTGTGCTATTTTTGAGCGACTGATGAAGAACATGTGAACATGTGGATTTACACCACAAATATCAAGTAACTACGGCCAGATCGCATTCTAGTTGGTGGTCTACTAGTGCAAAGAATATTCACTTTTCATTTTTTGAATTATGCGACGTTTGTCGAGCTGAGATCGGTAGAAATAAGTAGAATTTTTTATACACAACTACATGCTGAGAAATTGGATCAACTATTTTTTCACATAATAGCTTTACACTAAGTCAATCAATACAATTTTGAAAATACTGATATTTTAATGTATAAATAATCACTAGGTAATTACATTTTATTCACCGATTTCCTTTGATCCCACTTCGCTTTCTTCAGTGGAAGAACTCTATCTAACTGAACTATGGAGCGATTACTAATTTCAAGAAGTTCACGGTTTTGGTTTCTGCTAGCTGTTAAACTTTCTACAATTTTCAATTTCATTTCTCGATCTATAATCAAATATAGATATATTCCAATCAAAAAAACAGTAACCGAGAGCTGATGGAATAAATATTGATAGAGTCAGGGTAAGCAAAGGGTAGCAACATTTTTATTTTTATTATGCTTTGTGTCTTAGCATGTTTTATTTGAAGTAGAAAGTTTTAAAAAGCATGCACTCATATAAAGGTTTTAAGCTGAGTATTGAGTAAATTTTGAGAAAAATGCAATAATTGCTTACTTTGGGCTTTTAAAGATCAATCAAGTATTAAAATAAAATAAAAAAGAAAATCTTGCCGGAAGTTCCAAAATATTTAAATGCAAACAGTTCATAGATGTGATAAATTTGAGATTGTAGTTATTTTCTGGGCCGAAAACCACGCTCATAGAACCTCATCCTTTCCAAAACTGAATAATAGTTTGCTCGTTTCGAATCTTCACCCTTCAGCAGAGGGGTGGGGGCTTGTAGTGAAATTCTAGAACGATCACATAAAAACAAAAATGATGGAAAGCATTAAACGTACATTGTACTGAATAAAAAAAATCGTCAATATTTCATTATGTTTTGAAAGAGCTACAAAGAATTTACTTACATATTTTTCAGCTAAATAATATTGTGAAAAAGCTCACTCAGGAAAATAAAAGACTCGAAAATGAATTGAGAACAAGACCCTCATCCGATATTAGTAGCGAGTCTGACGTATCTGAGTCTGTCAAAGATAGACAAAGGGAGTTATTAGAAACGATTCAGAATAAGAACAAACAAATATCTGACTTGCTAAATGATATTGAGGTAAGACCTATTCGAGAGATCAACATTCGGGAAAGAAAAACCAATTCTTGAAATAAATCAGCTTCACAGTATCTGTAGTAATCAAAACGGTTTTGCTCTATGACATATCCGAGATACGCATGAATCAGGTAACCCCAGTTAAAGCTTCTGACAAGTTATTATCCTTCTCCATAGCACTTCATGTCGCTTTGACATTTACAAGAGACCTTTAACAAGTTTCGTATTTTAGGATGTGGAAAAAGAAAATTCAGTTCTGAGAGATAAACTTACCACTGTCAGAGATGAATTGGCGTTAGCTACAAAAGAAATAACCTCTATGACTAAGTTGCTAAAAGAAAAAGATGGAACTATACTAGAAAATACTGGTAAATTGGTTTATTTTTATCTTTCGTCTACGCATAAATACAACTACTAGCGTAGCTGATAAAGCTCTTAGTTTGCTAAACTTCAGTTCAGATTTACATGATTTCACAAAACAAAAAAAAATAATGCTTATGAGACCTTCAGAATATTTATTATTCGGTAATCCAAGTCCAAGTTGCTTTGGACTGTCGATGTGACAGTTTGAATTCTCCATTATCCAAATGGCTTTGTTGTGGATATGTTTCGGCCTTAGCATAGGTTTCATCAGCACAAATGGGCAAGCCGATAGTGAAGATCGAGCTGCCTTATGTTTCATACAAGTACAAAGTATTTGCTGGTAATAACACCCTTACGGGAAATCTGTCGCTGGATTTGGTTATCTTAAAAGGTTATAACCATTGATTCTCAATGGACAGCGACACCTGTAGTGACCTTTGGAGGTTGCCACCACATGAATTGAGTTATGTTTTCGGAAGACATTCGTTTCTGATCGCTGAATTGTACAAAGTATTATCAGGCAGAAATTCTTTATGCATGACTATATTGAATTGATTATAACGCGTAACAATGAATAAATGCATCTTTTTAACTTGTAACTTCTATTTCATTTAAAGAGCAATTAAGTAAAGCTAAAGAACAGTGCGAAAACGCTAGGAAAGCAAAGCTAGAATTAGAAGATGAATTGAAAACGACAACAATACAGCTGAACACCAAATTAGATGACTTGCAGGTAAGGTTGTATCGTAAATATATAAAAATTTTCATATTTACATCGGTTTCTTTAGACACTTTTGGACAAAAAAGACAAAGAAATACATAATCTCAAATCCCATCTGAGAGACCAAAGTTTGAATTCCTCAATATCAAGTCTTCCTAAAGACGATCCAGATGTATCGCACTTGGAAGTTCTCAAAAAGATCCTCCGTGAAAGAGAGGATCAACTCTTAGAACTTCAAAGTCAACTTAGAGTAGCTACAAAAGAGATACAAAAGAATACTGATGAGATGAAGAGTATTAAAGTAGAAAAAGACAGATCTAGGAGCAAAATCAGTGAGCTGGAGGACAGTGTCAACGAGTTAAAGAACCAGTTGCAAATAGGCCACGAAAGGTGTCAGAAACTGCAAGATGAAGTTGCTTTTGCAGAAAAAGTAGCTGAAGAAAAGGAAGCGGAGGTATGACATTATGATAACTATCAGTTGCATCAAGTTCGTTTTGAAATATACATTACAGGTTCAAGAAGTATTGGACAAAATAGAAAAAGCAGAGGTTGCAGAATATTTGCGGCAGGTTCATGAACTCAAATCAACTAACAGATTGAAAGAGAAACAGATAATTAACTTGGTAAAGACCTCCAACAAGCTTCAAGATATTTGCGAACATTTGGAGAGGCAAAATTATGCTTTAAGGTAATTAAGAGAAGAAGAGGGGGAAACTGGTGAATATATCCACCAGCATACTGTGGGCCTCTTTGTATTATTGTCATGAAAAGCAACTGCATTTGAGTCAGGCAGTCTCAGTGTATTCACGTCTTTGGTCTTCTTTACACGAGTTATTGTAAGATAATATTCTTTCAGGCATCAGCTGGGAATTTCAGAAGACGAACAAGTGGATATTAGTATTTCAACTCAGAAAGAACGGAAGGTCCAAAAAGAAATAGACCATCTGAAGCAGAAAATTTCCAAGAGAGAAGATTACGTACTGACGCTGAAATCTGAAATCCACCAGTTGAACCAGGTGAATGCGTCCTTGACCAATCAGATCTTACAGCTGGGTCATAAGCCTGTTTATGGCAAATTGTCTAGTGTACCAGACGTGTCTTGTAAAGAAGAGCTCAAAGCGCTTGTCGAAGAAAACGAGGCACTTAGGAAAGGAATGCACGAAATATTGAACAGCGTAAACGCAAAGAAAGCGGGGTCACTAAAGGAGATCCAATCAGGAACTTTGGAGCAGCTTTTGAGGGCGCTTGACGTCAAACACATCTCGGGATGGTATCATCCTGCGATGAGGCTCCAAGCTGAGCTACATAATTTGGAAGGTAAGCGATAAACTTATTAGGTATTGCCTGTCGAGCTTATGTTTCACAGTTTTTTGCGTTTGACATATTTTGGATCGGCCCTTGAACATGTTTAACAAAAATTCTAAATAGTTTTTTTTTATTAAAATGATGCGCGTTTGGTAGTTGCAGCTTAATACATCAATTGCTAATAGACAGTTTCTTGAAGGTATTAACGCAGAACTGAGAGACCAGCTAAGAGAGATACGAACTGAACTGAACAAATATAAAGATGGTGAAATTTCTGCAAAAATTGAAATCGACACAAAACCAATGTCAGTTCGAGCAACTAGCGATCCAACGGACTCTGTTGACGCAGATCTGCAAAACATTAATCCAGATAACGTGAAAGGTGTTCTCAAGATGATATTTCTAAAAATCAAAACTGATGATGCTGGACTCAATAAACTGCAAGATGAATTCGAATTATCGTACTGCAAAATGTTTGACGAGCAAAAAAAACTAACAGGCGAGCTGAAAGAAACAGAGGATGGCTTGAAGCAATTTCAGCTGAAAAATCAAATTATCGAAGAAAAACTTAATGTTCTCACTAATAATACAACTGATGTTGATAGGGTGACTAAAATTGAGGAACTAATATCAGAAAATGTTACACTTAAAAGAAAGGTAGTTTATTTGGAGAATGAAGTTAAATCTCAGTGTAGTAAGTTGGAAGAATTACATAAATACATCAGAAACACTGAAAACAGTTATCTCAACAAAATCAATGATCTGCAAAAACAAAATAAAATCATTGAAACAAACTTATATATTCAAAAGAACATTGCAGATACAAGCGTTGATATCGAAGCTCATAAGGAGCTAGAGACCAATCTTAAAAACATCACAGTGAAATACAGAGAACTGGCCGAACAACTTAAGGAAGAAAACGATGCAAGATCCTTAGAAATGCAAATCCTGTGCGAAACCGAAAAGAGTTTAAATGCGGAAAAAGTAGAGCTGAGTTCAAAACTCATCGATGCTCGGGCAAAATTACATTTGCAGGACGTTAGTTGTTATGAAGATAAAGCAGAAAAGCTTGCACAGAAGTTGTCGGAGGCAGAGGTGAATGAAATTACTGAACGTCAGCGAGCTAACCATACCAACAACTTGTATGAATTAGTCAAAGAACAGCTGAACAAATCAGAAGATAGATTCAAAGATTATTCAAAGTATAACGAGGAGTTGCTGAAGAAGAATCTGATTTTGCAAGAGCAGCTGAAAGACGTGGAAACCGTTGTAAGTGATTATGTAGACAAAGCTTTGTATAAGCAAGTGCAGCTGAAGAATAATGAACTTTTGCGAGAAAAGGAGAAGCTTGAGGTGGTAATATTGCAGCTGGAAAAAGATAGCATGCAAAGGAGAAAAGATTTCGAAAGTATCACATTATGGACTGAGTCCAAAGAGCAAGAGTTATTGAATCTAAAGCATCAGATAGTAGATTTGATCGCAGCATCTGAAGAAAACATTGTTATATCACAGCTGAATAGTGATATACTCCAGTATAAACAAAGTCAGACTTTTTACAAGAAACAAGCAGAGGAATATAATAAAGAATTGGAAAGACTAAAGGAAGATATCGTAAAGCAAAATGAAATCGTTCAAAAAGAGAAGGCTGACTTGGTGGAAAAGGAAGCTGCACATGGTAAAAAGATTGGGTAAGTTTTGAGAATTTTTGGTATTCAATATTCTAGGTACCTATAACAGTCATTGGTAATAAACAAATTTCATTATACACTGGTCAATTAAACAGTTCATCTGGAAAATTTTCATTACCTGAAATATTTTCTTTAATTATTCCATGTAACTAAATTATTCGGCTTAATTAAACTGAGTTTTATAGAACCAGCATAATTGAAAGAAATATATTATCAAACTAATTTGCTTGGAAATATCAAACCAAGTACCTGTTTTATTGAACTGTCTAATTAGTTTAGGTAACTTAGTTTGTGTAGAAAAGGAACATTTAACACAATTAATCATTAAATACAAACAACTAAACTGGTTATTGGAAACGCGGACTCGGCAGAACTGGTGAATGATCGGGAGTATGCGACAGGCGCAGTGAAACATTCGAGCATAAGGCGCTTAGTGACCTACTACACTCTAGGGTGTCCCGAAAAAAGTGTGCAATATTCTACCAGCGGTTTCTGGAGCTCAAAATAGGAAGAAAAGTTCATATAATCATAGGTCGACAAACGACCCCTAAGGACGCTACGGTCTTTTAAAGGGGCTCCCCTGAAGATGGTTTTTCCTTAATAATTCCGAAACGTATTGAGATAAAGACATAAAATTTGGTACTATAGCCTAGTTTTTTATGCTGTATTTAAAAATATTAACAATTTTAGACAGTTTTGTTTGGAAGCGTATGTATCAGGGACGGACTCAGGTTATTTTAGCCCCAAAACTTTTGTGTGATTCTATTTTTGAAATTCAATTTTAGAATTTGAAAATCTATGGTACATAAAAAGGTACTATTATTGAATATTGATAAATCGTGCCATTTTTGAATAAAATCAAACTAAAAAATTTGTCACATGATAGGAAACCGCTGGTAGAATATTGCACACTTTTTTCGGGACACCCTGTATAGGGGGGTACTGCTGACGTTGCGGTATGTAAAGAACTTTGAAATTCACTTACTGAGGTCAAAGAATATATATATATATATATATATGTATATACAATTAATTGTTAGTTGGGAAATTGACAAACTTTGTAGGCCTTAGTAAATTCTATTAACGGTAATCTCAAGCTTTCGGCAAGCAGATGTAGGAGGTTAGAAGGAATGTTCCGGTTTTTGTCCCCAAAATTGCTTTTCGTTAATTTTCAATGTGTTCGGTGTATTGATATATATGTTAGTGTTAACACCTAAGATGGTTTCCGTCATTATCAATAAACCCAATGTCTCCGTCCGTTTGGTTTTATATTTGTAATAAGTGCTCTCATCCCCGCGTTCGTTTTGAAACACCATTTGGCTGCAACCTCAACGACGACTCCTGAAGAAGGCTCCATAGAGAATGCGGAAAGCTTGAGATTGCAATGGCAATTACTACTGCTCGCGTATATATATATATATATATATATATATATATATATATACATTGTGTCCAATAAGTGCCACGACAACCTTAAGGAGAAGGTAGGCTTTGAACTACTGACCTCCCAAATAACAAAAGCTTACCTATATAAAAGGGTCACCGTTTTTGAGATAATGAATTTTTTCTTAAATTTAAAAAAACGAACCTTTTCATCTGTGTCTTTAGCTGCATGTACAAATAAGGTTATGCTTTGTTCATTTTTTCTATAAAATACTTCTAGATAGTTGCTTTATCATATACAAATGCAATTTAGTTAAAAGCTATTAAGAAACCATGATCAAATAAGGGCTATTTTGGGATTTATAACCTTCTGATATTTTTTCCTCAACTTTGACCATCTGTGGTGAAACAAAAATGTCCTGGACTATAACTGCATTATATTGAATAAAAATTGCTCATTGAATACAGATTTCAGAAATGCACCGCACGTGCTATTTGGAACAGAAAAAAGTGATAGCTGTTTTTGTAAGTGACTGACACACACTACAGTGTAATTATTGGATTTAAATTCAAGTTGCACTGGTTACCGATCAGTGACATGCTAAATAGTAGAATAGCTACATTATTATTACCTGCTCCTGATATGATTTTATGAAAGTTGAGGAAACAATATCAGACGGTTATACATCCCAAAACTGCCCTTATTTTATCATGGTCCCTCAATATCTTTTAACTACATTGCATTTGTTTATGATAAAGCAACTATCTAGAAGTATTATATAGAACAAAATGAAAAAAGTATAACCTTGTACATGCAGCTAAAGACCAGAGATGAGAAGGTTCGTTTTTTTAAAATTTAAGAATGAATTCAATATCTCAAAAACGGTGACACTTTTATATAAGTAAGTTTTTGTTATTTGGGAGGTCAGTCCACAGCCTACCTTCTCCTTAAGTTTTTCGTGGTACTTATTGGATACCCTGTATATCTAGCACACTCCGGTGGACAATTGATATACCAAACATAGGCGATGTATACAATTTCTGTACACATGACCAAGTGACCTTATTCATTGTCAGGTATCAATCACTTTCCTTACTTTATGAATTTAAAACAAATAATTGCTTCTAGTGAATGGTGATATACAGGGTGTAAACGTTATGGTAGTCATTATTGAAATGGGTAAGAAGGGTCAAAGCTAGTCAAAAAGTTCATATGACCCATGGTCTAAAAGTCAATAGATTTTTGTCTAAATGGCTTTATAGTTTACAACTTTAAGTGCTTTATATCGACCACAATCACCACAATCTTACTAATTTTTATAATCTAATCTAAAACGTTTTTAAGTTGAGTAATTAACAAATAAGTGGCATTAAGTTTTTCTAAGTTAAGCTAAAATTTGTAGTCAGTAAGTAAGTAAATTTCATTAAATGGAATATTTAAAACACACATGACAACAGCGCGTCGGTTTTTCATCACTCTTATCGAACCGGCAATCGATCGCAAACGGTAACTGTGGTTAGTATGTTGTTTTGTTTTTGTTCGCGTACATCGTCGTGTTTATTTTTACAATGTTCTCGAATCAAGATTTCACCGACATGTTGTTAGTTTGCGGTGAAGCTCGTCAGAATTCAAGTCTTGCAGCTCAAATTTATCGCGACAGATTTCGCCAACGGGTACACCCAGACAGAAGGACATTTGTGCAAGTGTACCAAAGACTTCGAGACACAGGAAGTGTTTAGCCCACTAATATTCGCACTCGTGAAAGACAAGTTACTCTAGAGCAGGAGGAACAAATTTTAAATATCGTGGAAATCAATGCAGATATAGGACTCGGGAATAAGGCAGCCGCGTAGGACTATCGCAAACCATAGTCCAAAGAATCCTACGGGAAAATTTGCGTTATCTTACCATGTATAACGAGTGCAGGCCTTGTTACCAAAAGACTATCCTCGCAGACAAACATTATGTCAGTAGTTTTTGCACAAAAACATTGAAAATCCGGATTTTTCTAAAAACATTCTAGCGAGGGACGAATGTACTTTTACGCGAGACGGGATATTAAATTTACATAATACTCCCATGTGGGCCCAACAAAATTCTCATACCATTCGTCAAGGTCATTTCCAACAACGTTTTGAAATACATGTTTGGGAGGGTATTCTTCACGATCAGGTAACTGGCCCTTCCGAGTTACCCCCAAAGTTCTCAGGAGTAGGATACCTTAGCTTTCTAGCCAATAACCTACCAGAACCTTTGCAACAGACCTTAGACAATATACCATTACAACGAAGACAAAATTTGTGGTTTCTTCATGACGGGGCACCACCACACATTTACACATTATCCAAGTCGCTGGATCCTGATCCTCGAAAATGGCCAGCAAGATCTTCTGATCTCAATCCGATGGATTGACCTCGGTTTGACCCCCATGTTATATGAAACTTTTTGCGTCTTTTAACCCCCTCTATCAACCATTGAAATAATGACTATCATATATAATAAGTTGTTACGGTTATAACGTTCGAAAGTTTTTACTTTGATTCGAAAACATTAACTATCAATATCAAGTATCTCAAGTTTTTTGATGTCTAAGTTTTGTTAGAGCACAGTTATGCATCATTCAGTAAAACGCAATTTGTTCTTTTACATCCCAAATATTCAGTTATGCTTTTAAATCGAAATAAAATAATTCATAGTAACTGGGCAAATATATTTACCTAATCTGATTAAAGAAATTTAATAAATATATCTAAATTGTTTTACTTGAGCAGGTAACCTCATTTTAATATTTCTCTAATTTTAAATGAAGTGGTGTACTCAATCTGAGTAAACGGTTTACTAAATTTAACTGAACAAATGCGTTTTGGCTTAATTAAACTAGTTTCATAGATTCCAGTAAACTCTTTTAGAAACCAGAGTTTAACTGAATTAATTAAAATTGTCAGCTGTCAGATAGTTATTTTTTTAATTGGCCTAATTAAAATTCTAACTAGCTGAATGAAATTTTATTCTCAATTTATAAGGATATTATTTTTGTCTATAGACACCTGCAGAACCTATTGAAGATGCAGAAAATACAGTATCTGGGCTGTGTTCCTCTAAGATCGGAAGAAGCTTACATCAGCAATCTGAGGATCATAAATAGAGAAAAACACGAAGCTTTCCTCGCTCTCCATAGAGCTAGAAGTTTGGAAAATGAAGCACAGGTGTTCAAAGAAAAACTGAACTTAGATTTGGATTATTTAAAAAAAGAGAGAGAATTACTTTCAGGAATACATAAAAAGGAGTATCAAGAGGCCATCACGTGGATGCAGGAAAAGAAAAATTTACAAATTAGCGTAAGAGCTCGTCTTTCACCGGGAGGCGATGGCTACGTGCTGGCGACTCTGAGATTACAACGTTGCCAATAAACTACGTCATTAAAATACTTGTTAGTGAGTCATATTAGTGACATTTGTGAAGTGTCATCGATGTCATCGCGGCTATGATCGCAACATTTGAAAACATGTAAAAATCATGTGTGTTTGTCGCATTTGAAAAAAATTGTCTCGGTCTTTATCAGAGATGAAGGAATGCACCCGAAGTTTCTTCGTTTTGGTTTCCTTCATTATGTTCTACTCTATGAGATGATAAATTGTCATGACCTTTTCTAATTTCATTCTGAAACGACGAAAATGAGGTCATCACTCTGTCACTGTTAGCTCTCTGTGGCTACTCCATCGAATCCAGAAGTGGCCATGGCTGCAAAACTGACTCCGTCGCCATGGCATCCCGGTGAGGGAGAGTTTTAGGTAAAGCAATATCATTCCAACATTATTATTATGAATTTAGAATGAAGTTCCAGCAAGGGCATATTTTCGAAAAACTGATATAAATTGACAGCAGCGTACTTCAGCATCTCTTTTTTTTTTGTTCGATCATCCTCTTCAAGAGGTATTTTCTTATTTTCTAGGAACTTCGCTATAAACGCCAATCCGAATTTAAAGAGTCTCAAATACAGCATTTCTTAGAAAGGATAAAGATTCAAGATGAACAAATTGCAAAACTGGATGAAGATGTGCTACTTTTGCACAAATCCGTTGATACTAATACAGTGTCTAAAGAAGCTCTGACAGAGCCAGAAACGAAATCTGCTTATCAGACATACTCAAAAATAAACAGTAGATCTGTTGAGACACAAACAGATCTAGAAGTGATTCCGGTTAAGGATAACAAACAAGAGCTGGTTAACATTAAGTGTGATTTGCTGAGAGCGCAGGAGGTTTTGAAAGAGAAAGAACACGTTATTGATCAGCTGAAGAGTAAGATGAAGTGAGTCCATGATTGGTATTATTAATTATTGAATGTGTGACATTAAGCACTTACTCCAGATGCTTCATATATGGTTAGTTGCTTTGATTTTAACTTATCGCTAATGCTACTGCAATCAGAAGGTTTGCTGGCTTTGACCATTAATGGATTCTTTGTGCAGCTATCGATCTTTGACTATTCATAAGATTATTTGTTATCCTTAACCCTAGAGAGATAATCATTTAATAACTGGATAAATAACACTGGTGAACAAAATTAAAATAATTTTTTTGTGACATGGACAAACCAAGGTATTATGTAAAAAGTACCCAAAATGCCGGAAATAGCATTCGTTTTTTTATATCACCCACGATTTTATTGCAATAAGGCATTTTGTTTGCTGCTTATACTATAAATAATTAATCTCAGAGTGCTGTCGATGTTTTACGGAGATATGTTGCTCCTGAAGTATCTCTTAACAATGTCCAGCAATAACGAGCAAGCAATTTGACGCTCCATTTGCCTTGATACCGTTTTTCCATAGCAGAAACGTTTTGGTCGAACCGTTCAGCATGTTCATCACTTACCGCATCTAAATTTTCCGGAAAAAATCGAGATGACAATCCAAAAATGAGTTTCTAGAGACATGTTACATCCCGTTGCTTCACAAATTTGCAGTAACCGATTTAAATGCATTCCAAGCTCGTAATTCAGTTTCATTTAGAGCAAATGTCAAATACTCAAATACTGAAATACCCTTCATGATTTTTCATATTTGTGGACCCACAAATATGCCCTCTTTAATTTTTTCCTCACTAAGTCTCGGTAATGTTTGATTCAAATGAATGAAACCTCTTCCATTTCGATCCATAGCTTTAACAAAACTTGTCATCAGTCCCAACTTAATATGCAAAGGCGGAAGCAATACTTTTTTGGGATCAAGTAGTGGCTCATGAACAATGTTTTTGAGTCCCGAAGTTAATACCTGACGTAGTGGCCACTCCTGCTGTTCATAATGATGATATCGCGCACGACTGTCCCATTCATAAAGAAAACAACAATATTTGGTATATCCCAGTTGCATTCCAAGAAGAAGATCTAATACCTTTAAATCTGCACATATGGCCCACCCATACTCATTAGTATATGCTCTAACAGAACTCCAATATTTTCATATGATTCCTTCATATGATCTGCGTGCGCTATAGGTACAGATGGATGTTTATTACCGTTGTGTACCAATATCGCTTTTAAACTAAGCTTCAAACATATTGTTGGCATCGGAGAATATATCAACTCGGTAAAAAGTAATTTTAACATCACCGTGGTGAAAATTCCATCTTTTTAATTTTGACACTAAAAGTTCTGACTGGGATTTTGACAGATTTAATTCTCGAACTAAGTCATTAAGCTCGCCCTGTGTGATCAAATGCGGCGCTGTTGAACATTCTGGCACGTCAAACGAAGGATCGGAATTTTTTTCGCTTTCTGTACCATCACTTTCAGAATCGGTGGATTCGACGTTTTCATCCAAAGACCAAGGTTCTGGTGGAACTGGGACAGAAAGTCCATCACTATGCTTAACGGGCCGCAAAGCTGATGGTAAATTAAAACACTTAACAGTATGTTTCGATTTTGGTCCGATACCTTTAATATTTGTGAGGCAAAAATATCAACCAGTAGTATGGTCTCTCAGTTCTCTCCAAACCATGGTACCGGAAAGGACATTTTACGATTGTCGCCTCTTAGCCAACCTGTTAACAACGTTACACAAGTCTTACAACATATATGAGGGGCCCATAGTTTATCTTGGTCGCCAAATTTGATTCCAAAATAAAGTTCGTATGCATTCAACACAAGGGGAGTAAAAGTACGTTTTTGGGATTTTTTTTACCGTTTTAACAAAAATTGACAGTACTCAGAACATCTCAGTACCCTTCAATTCAGAAAACGCAATATGGTCTCTAAACATCGAGCTCGCATATACCTGTAATAAACAGGAATAGACAGGTCTTAATATTGTATATGTGTGTCATCGCATAAATGCCAAGAAATGCAGGAATATGAGATGTTAGGTATTGTAATTCATGAAAGTAGATGTTACCGAATATCTGTTTGTGATAGAAAGATTCTGTTTTTAGATTTGTTTTGAGGGTCTCAAAATACATAAGGTACACCCAAAAACTCTCATGTCACAAATCCTGTGTTTATCAGTGTAATCATACGTCCAGCAGACATATTTATTTGAAATAATCAAGCTTTGTAATTCAGATCATTTACGTACATTACAATTTAAAATAACTGTTTAAATACTACTTCAAGAAATTAGACGACAATTTAGCATTAGAAGTTAAACTTTTATTTCCAAATGACAAACTAAAATTGTAAGCTTCATTGTAAATTAACACAAGACAGTTTATTTTATAAACTAAACATTTGAAATGACTTCTAGTCTTCATATCTGAATATTTGGCACATTTTAACTTCATTTAACTTACCATTAATACTTTTAATTTTCGATGTAAAGTGCTCAAGTCATTTTTATGTTCTCCACAAACAGGCCTTTTCCACTTCATGCATGGTAACTTAGAGATTCTGCTGATTTTGGATGAACGATATGAGTAGTAGTAGTGGTAGTGGAGAGGCAAAGCTCAAGCCACACTTGACTTGTTTGTCGTCCCATTGTACTAACACTGTACTATCCGACATACTGGTTATTGAATAATCCAGCTCCAGCGATGCAAGCTACCTATTTTGTCTTGCACCAATTCGGTGCGTACATATACTCAGTGACATTAGAAGTGTTATCCAGAAAAAATAATTCCTTCAACTGGATTTTTGGCAACATAATGATTACATTTAAAGCATGCTATGGCAACAATGTCAACGTTTTACCTTTGATTTTGTTTACCGTTGTCAAAATCTATCTCTTAGTTTTTGTGCTGAAGGCAGTTCCTGAGAGTTGAGTAGTAGAGATATTTTTAGTTATTGCCCTTTCATTTACTAGTGTTAAGCATAACAAAGTGGCTCGAGAAGATGTCCAAATTTGGCAGGAGTAGAATTATTGCCTATCGAGATGTTAGTTTGTCCCATCGCGAAATTGGCCGCCGTGTTAGTTGTACTGCAATGACGGTAATGCATGTGTGTCGTGTGTGGATAAAAGAAGGTAGAGGAACTCGCAGAAGGCCAACTGATAGGCGCTTCAGACAACTAGCCCTACGAGACCGTTTTGCTACTACGCGTGAGGTCGCTGACCAATGGCTTGCAGAAGAAGGTCGACCTGTTACTATTCGTACATTCGAGCCTTTGGACTTTTTTCATACCGTCCACGTTTGAAGTGGAGCCGACAACGGCAACATTGGAAGGCAGGATGGCATAATGTCATCTTCACCGAGAATCGCGATTCTGTCTTGGAACGCACGACGGCCGTAGAAGTGTAAGACGCCGCCGTGGAGAACGGCGTGATATTGGATATGCTGTTGAGAAGCATGAACACAGGACAGTTGGAATAATGGTTTGGGAGGCTATTGCCTTTGTAGCCGATCACCTGTTCTCTTTGCTCAAGGCAATGTCCAACAAACTACTTTACTGCCGTACCTAGTGGGCCGTCCACACGTCCCTTTTCAGCAAGACGACGCACGTCCCCATATTGTCTGTCTTACTAAGGACTTTCTTCAGCAAGCAGGCGTTAATATTTTGCCGTGGCCACTCCGCTCACCGGATTTAAATCCCATCGAACATGTGTGGGATATGATGGGGAGGCGACCATTCACTTTGCACCATCCGCCACAAACTCTGCCACAGCTAATCCTCGAAGTTCGAGTTTGCTGGAATGAGATGCCACATCCAGACTTCTCATTTTGTTGATATCTAGACGTATACAGGAGCAGCAACTCCGAGGTCGCCCAACACATTAATTTATTTCCTTATTGCTTGTCAATAAAATTTTGTGAGAATGTTATCGTTTCATTCTGGATGTAAGGCTACCCCTCATTGCCAAAAAATCAAGTTTGTAGCAATTATTTTATTCTGGGGTAACACTCCTAGTGTCACTGAGTATACAGGGTGTTCCTTATTGATATGCGAATATTTAAGGGTGTGAATCTACATGAAAAATTAATGTTAGTTCGCTTTATAAACTATGGTCCAAAAATGTTTCCTTACAAAGCTCGGGATGTTGACGTTTTAGGAAAAGAATGGAAATTTATTAATATTTTCAGAACCGCTTCAGATATTTCACTGATATTTAGTGCGTAATGAAAGTTAATAAAGTTGCACATTTTTTAACAAAAAAATGATACGCCAATAGTTTTTGGCCAAATAAAAATTATTTTTGAATTCCCCGTTCAATATAAAACAAATGATTTCTTTTGGATTGTTTTCCTTAGATGCGCCATTTTTGAGTAAAAAAATAAAAACGGTTCTATCGTCTAACTTGCAAAATTCTTATTAATTTAATTGGAAAAATTAAAAACATTAGGGGAAATGAACAACAACAACTGACAACATAAACATAACATTAAAACCAACGAAATAATTACAAAAATTGTTTAAAATGGCCCCCTTCACTTAGTATGCATGCTTCCCCTCTCCTTCTTATGTAATTGCACACTCGTTGAATATCCTTAGAGTGTTTTTTATTCTATCACAAGCTGCAACTATTCTTTCTCTTAATTCTTCTACAGTATTAATGGGACTTGTGTACACTAGTGTCTTAAGATAGCCCCACAAAAATAAATCTAAACTGTTGGAGTCTGGGGACCTTGGTGGCGATTCTTGGGGCCCACCGCGGACAAACCAACGATTTGGATAAAGAGTTTGTAAATAATCACGAACCGCTACACTGAAATGCTCTGGTGCACCATCATGCATGTACCACATATTGTTTCTTATTACTAACGGAACATCATCAAGCAGCAAAGGCAACTGTTGTTGAAGAAAATTCAGGTGAGTCTGTCCGTCAAGTCGTCCCGGCAAGAAGAATGGGCCAATAAAGTGGTTGCCAATAATTCCTGCCCATACGTTAACCGAAAATTGGTGTTGGAAAATGGGTTTCGGTTACGACATAGGGATTTTATTCCGCCCACAAATGATTATTGTGGAAATTCTGAATGGCATTTCGAGAAAAATTAGCTTCGCCCGTGAACAGAATCATCGATTCAAATTACGGATTCTGTGTAATGTTTTGAAGATACCACTGACAAAAGGTCACACGCCTTGGAAAATCAATGGGAAGTAATGCCTGTACTCTTACAATATGTTAAGGATATAACAAAAAATCCACTAAAATTCTCCAAACAATTTGGTGGCAAATATTTAAGTGTCTAGCGATCTTCCTCGTACTCGTTTCAGGATGTTCTTCGACAGCACTGCTTCCTCAATTTTAGGTGTTCTCACACATAGAAGTCTACTTTCAGATGTTCCTTTCGGACAGAACCAGTTTCAATGACGATGAATATTAGAAAAGGTTCGACTATCTGGCAAAGCTCGATCGGGATATCTCTGGTGATAACCGTCGGCAAGGCCATACACGTAATGCATTTCCGCCATTTCTGCATTTGAATATTTCACCATTATTAACAAGACTGTAAAAACTAAATAATGAAAAAGATGTCACATCGAACAGATTTGAATAGCAGAGACTTGTCAGATGTCAAAGGCCAGTGACATATTCCAGAGCAACTAGATATTTATTGCTAAATTCATTCTTCAATCATTACATAAATTTTCTCGGACAATAGAACGGTTTTTATTTTTTTTAGTCAAAAATGGCACATCAAAGTGAAACAATTCAAGAGTGGTTATTTGTTTTAAATTGAACGAGGAATTCAAAAAATGTTATTTGGCAAAAAGATCAGTAAAAATATTAATTAATTTCCATTTTCCTGAAACTTCAGCACACCGAGTTTTTGTAAGGAAACATTTTTGGACCATAGTTTATAAAGCAAACTAACATTAATTTTTCATGTAGATTGACACCCTTAAACATTCGCATATCATTAAGGAACACCCTGTATATAGTTTAACACAAAATCCCTGGCTCAAAATGTATCTTCTGAGATCGGAATTGGAATCTGCAAGTCTTCAAGCCGTTTCGTGAGTAGGTCAACTCTTGAACACATCTGACTGTCCAACCCATATGAACAATACGAATAATATTTTTTTGTAGGTGGCACTTAGCGTTATGATTTCACCATCATTTGGAACAGACTTTGATGGATCTTCAGCTTCTTTGACCAATTTAACTTCAGTACCACCCTGCACGTCATCTCCTGAGACGTTGTCTTCAACTTCAATTCCACATTCTGATAACGAAATTCCTTCACTTTCATTAAGAAATTCTTCAATTTGGGTATGATTTAGAACCCTTCGGTTCGCTATCAAGATAAATAATAATGAATAACAAATAAGCAATCTCTCCAAACAACTTATGTTTAATGAAAGATAATCATACGTCTCGCGGAGTTATGGCATAGCAATATACATAATGATAATCAAGAGTTTTTACCGCGAGCTCCAGTCGCCTGCTGAGTTAGCTCAAGCAGCTAGTAGGCTGCGATTGATAGCAAAGGGTAAAAACCAAATATCGTTGGGCCGCACGAACCGCGGACGTAGATTATATTTCTAGGATTAATAAATTTCTATTATTACGATAACCAGTGAGAATGAGATGGCGATTAATCTATTCAGGAAGCAAATCGGAGACAAGCAAAGTCAAATTAGTTTTTATGAGAGACACATCGTGGAATTGCAAAACAAGAAGGATGAAATAATGAATTCTAGTGGTGGTGCCGGAGGTGACAATATTTCTGTTGGCACCGAAACTCAATTACAGAATGAACTTATAGCGCTGAAGGTATGTCAAGATATATGTGGTTTTTCGTTTTTGAAATTGTTTTATATTGATCGTTGTAAGGTCCTGATGAAAGGTCCTTTCATATAAACCTCAAATGTTTTTTAATTACAATACTCAACGAATCAGCTCTGATCGTATTTAACTAGTTGCAGTAATGTACGCTTTGATATTCATTAACATGCTACATGCTTCAGGGTTCTATAAAGGATCTTCAAGACAGACTAAGTTCAAAAGATGAAGAAATTATAAAGTATCAAACGCTATTGAAAGTCGACAGAGACAAGCATAGTTTAGCAGCTGCAAGTTTGCAAGAAGAGCTACAAAAGCTGAAAGCCTGCCTTCTGGAGGAAAAGCATAAGAATGAAAGGTACCCTTGAGGGTTATGTTAGATAATATATTCGTGTGCCTATTTTGATCTTATAAATTTTTAGTCAGAAAGAGACTTTGCAAACAGCAACCAATAGAGCTGCTTTGGAACAGTATATTTCACAGGTGCATGCACTGGAAAAGCACACCTCAGAGTTGCATACCAAGATATCAAGCTTGGAAGCCCAACTTCAATCCAGCAGAGAAGAGAACGTGAGGTGGATGTCTTTGGCCAATGACAGACTCAAAGCCATGGAGGAACTGCGAAACAGGTGATTATGCTACTTTTCATGACTCCGAAAATTATATATAAGAAGATGAATTGCTACTGTCATTAACTTCTGAGAGTTAACCAAATAGCTTGTGGGGAATGAAACAGGTGATGATGCTACTTTTCGTGAGACCGAAATTTATATATAGGGTGATTCACAAGTCATGACCAGAATGGAAGCATCATACACAGGACCGCATCTTAAGGGGGTCTATGTAACACTTTTTCCACCGAAGGCTTCATTAAAAGAAGTTTAAGTTTGAAGTTTAAACATTTTTGGATTATCTTCAAAACCATCAACTGGAATGCACTAAAATTTGGTATGTGGATTAACCCAAGTATTGTCCACATTCAAAAGTCTTTACTTAAAATTAACGCAGGGGATTAGTGGCATTATTTTTCCAAATAGAAATAGTACGCCACTGATTTTTTTCCAAAACGCGCGATTTTTCGAATTTTCCCTTCAATTCTTGTGTTTTTTCCTAGAGTGCACTGTCTTCGTAAAATAAAAACAACACAAATCATATCATTCATGAAGAGCCGAGATACAATTAGTTTTAAAATAGAATAGGAGGCCTTGATAACGTTTCTTTGGAGATAGGTTGTCAAAGTTATGTGTTATTCGGTTGTTATCGTTACTATACCTTTTTTTTTGCAAAAGTCAAGTCAAAAGTTTCGTTTTTCAATTTTTGAATGTTAACAGACGCCAAAGGTTCTTACGCGCTCATTTCCAAGACTTCGGCAATATGCTGAACAACTTAATACTGTTGATCAGTTTACAAGAAAGAATAGATAAAGTGTTTCATCAAATTCAAACCACAACAGATTTTTCGGAAATAGTTTATTCTTTATTAAAAAGATGCACTTGTATCCATCAGATGGTTGTCTTTTGAAATATTTTTGAAATAAAGCTCTGATTATCTAATTTGTTTTATTTTTATTTTTACAAAAACAATGCACTCTAGGACAAAACTTAATTGAGGGGAAAATTCAAAAACTTGCGCGTTTCGAAAAAAAGAACAGTAGCGTACTATTTTTATACGGAAAAATAATGCCACTAATCCCTTGTATCCGCCACTAGTGCGCGTTAATTTTTGAATGTGGACAATGCTTAGGTAAATCCACATACCAAATTTAGTTCATTCCAGTTGACGGTTTTCAAGATATTAAGAAAAATTGTTTTTTATTTTTAAACTTCAACCCCGTATCTTTTTAATGAAGCCCTCAATATGTTACATAGAAGACCCCCCTTAAGATGCGAGCCTGTATAATAATAATAATAATAATAATAATAAAAAATAATAATAATAAATAATAATAATATAATAATATAATAATAATAATAATAATAATAATAATAATAATAATAATAATAAAATAATAATAATAATAATAATATAATAATAATAATAATAATAATAATAATAACCCCGCAGGGGGTATCTACTTTTAAGGTCGGGTCTACGACCCGGGCTTAAGGGAAGGTACATGGGGAGCGTCGCCCCCACGGCCCTAGACGGGGAGTTCGGGATTTGGTAGTCTTCTTATTCTGCCAAACCCTGAGCTGCACCATTGTTCGGAGGCAATGTGAAAAATAATTAACTGTAAATGAATACGAGAAGTAAGACGAAACTACGAGGCGGGAAGGTGATTGAGGCTGGTCCCTTCTTCGGAAACCGTCGTGATGCTCAGCCTGAAGGGAGTGAAGGTGTGATGGGTGGCGCATCCTCCCGGATTAACAGCACCCTAGGCTATAGACAAAGGAACGAGAATGGACAAAACCAAGACTACGCAGCTGTGGTAACACAGGCAAATGCAACATACGCCACTAGATCAGTAACACAAAGGACCCTTCAAACCGGACTCAACACCATAACGATCACAGAAAACCATCCGGAAAGAGCTGCTGGTTACCCTGATGAACATGGTCAGAGCCCAGCATCACTTGAACAACGCTCTAAGGAGAATCGAATAAATCAACTTACTAAAAGGCCTTGGAGTTATGAAGAAATTAACGAACTGATGTGGTGTTACCACTATACCAATGCAAAGCAATCAATAGGCGAAGCAGAGGTTTATAACATGTGGAGAAGTAGGAATCCTAATAGCAGACCGTACATGGATTCCAAGAAGCTCGCAACGCAGCGCAGATATCTACTGAACAGCGGAAAATTTAATGAAAATATGATAAGAGCGATGAAAAGTAAAGTAAGCGAAGCAATACGGATCGAAGTGAGAGAGCAACGTGAGTTGGACTCAGTGACAACTGAGCCGGATACAGAAGATATGAGTGAAGATCAAACAGATAATACTATCAAACAGGAGATTCTCGAAGAATACGTTTCTACGAAATCTTCACCCATAAACGAGAGACTGAAACTACCAAAACTCCAAGATAACATGAAACAAAGATGATAGTAAAACAAGCAAACGAAGCAGTTTCACAAATCTTGGAAGAAACACTGATTGAAAATATTACGGAGGTTAACCACCTATTGTATGCGACAGCAAAAATAGTAACAATGAAAGTAAGCCCACATCAAAAAATAACTGAAGAACCAATCAGACACCTACAAAATAGATACACCGAGACTTCTGCCCCCTGGGAGAAGCGAATAGAGGCCAAGATCACAAAACTCAGATCCGATCTCTCAATCCTCCATGAAGAAGATAACTCAAAATTGAGAAATGCAACAAGAAGAAAGTTAGAACAATTGAAATGTCGATAACCATAAACAATTTAGAAGACCGGGTGTAGAAGAGAGTAAGAGTAGAAGAACAACTAAAACAAAAGATACAGGCTTACGCCCAACGTAGAAAGCGGTATAATAAAAGAGTCGCATTCCGCAGACAGAATTATTTATTCCAATATGACACCAGAAGGTTATACCAAGAACTTAATGGAAAAGCTGAGACACGCAAGACGTGCCGGGAGAGACAGATGTAGTACACTATTGGTCGGAAATCTGGCGCAGGAAGGAAATTATCGACGAGAACACGGAATGGATGAAGGAAACTATTGACAGTTATCAGCACCTAGAACGCATGCACGTGAGGTGAAAGCATCACGGAGAAGGAAATAAGGATGTACTCCGTAAAGCTGCCAACTGGAAAGCCGGTGGGCTTGACAGAATCCATATACTGTGTTAAAGAAGATAAGTGCCCCCATAAAACAATCGCGGTAATCTTAACAAAATACTAAAAGGAGAAGAAGATCTGCCCACGTGGATGAATAGTGGCATCACGTATCTTATTTACAGAAAGGAGACCCTTCTAAGCCCAGAAATTACAGACCCATACTTGTTTATCCGTTACTGTCAAATTTACTAACTGGGATAATGTCGTTCTAGATATGACCACCTAATAGCTCAAACAGTTGATTCCATCTGAGCAACGAGGATGCTGCAAGGTTCATACGGATGTAAAGATCTACTATTATATAACAAAAAGATAATGAAGGACGTACACAGTAAAAAGAAAAATCTATCATTATG